GATTGCCTCTCAAAGAACGTCTGCAGAGCGCATAACATGGCTGGCCCCAGGCTGCGTGCTCAGCAATCCGGCCTCCGCCTAATTGATTAATTACGCTGGGATGAAACTCAACTTTCATGAGATTTATCCCTGTTTGGGAGGTGAACATTACTAGCAGAAAAAGAATAATTTGGTTTATTGAAATACCTGTATATATTATATATTGGAATAAAACGAATCTTAAATGGAGTTGAATTAATATACGCTTCTTAGCAAGTTATTTTAGTATTCGTAAGCTTTTTTTACTGATCTAACTTGAAGCAGGTAAAGAAAGTAGTTACCTATACAAATTTAGAATACGTATATCTTAGCGTAATTCGAATTCGCGTCGCATTGCTTGACGATTAAAGAGGCTAGTAATATATTTAGGTGCGCTTTTGCGTTAACTGCTTCCGAGCTGATTTCAGTGCGATTCTGAGCTGACTGCCTCCGAGCTGAGCTCAGTGCGCTACTGAGCTGACTGCCTCAGAGCTGAAATTCCCTACCTGCCCCGAATGTACCATGACTCTCTGCTCTGATTCATGTCAAGAACTTTGAGAAGCGAGCATTCACGCGCGAGGAATGATATTACGCGAGCGTCGCATGACTCAACGCTGCACAAAAATGCGCTTGACGTAAAGCGAGCTTCACAATTGCAGCGACAGCGAGACAATATGAAACAATAGCGCAATTCCCTGCCTGTGTCGGCACTTCTTGATCATTTCCGCCATAAGCTTAGGTGTCAGCCAGGGAGAAATTTCGTGACTGGGAGTTGCCAAAGTTGCTTACGAATGCTGGAGCTGGAATTTAATTCGTAGATCTCGACGATGAAGACGTAGAATCTCATTAGTGCATTGAATAGATTGGTGACTTTCAAATGGTAATGACGAAAGTTGTGATATTGATTATCGTTTTGTGCAGTTGATTTTATGTAAGCATTTAATCAGAAATTGTGCACGCATCAGTTCGAGGAAATCTATTCTGTCTAGGTGAACGTAACGATTACCAACTTAATGGTAATAGCTGGAAATGTTATTTTTCGCAATAGGGTACGGAATGTCGACTATTTTTCAAAATGTCTTTGCATGATATTCACAACGCCATATTTAGAAGATGAGATCCAGTATACTGACTGGGAAGGGAGAAATGTTTTCAAAATATCCTCTGCCGACCATATCCTCCGAAAACAAATATTCCATGATAATAAATAAATCATTTTTTAGTTAAGTTATTATTTAGCATGAGCGCTTTACATCAGCATTTAAAATACTGTAAATAAAATGTAAACCGCTTAGGTGCGTCAAAATTAACGTGGTTGTCGTGAAATTCAGCGGATAGTTTGTTGTTAAAAAATGCACCGCTTCTTGGTTGAAGGGGTTCTTATTCGTAACTGCTTTACTGCATGAACACAGTCAAGGAAATAATTGCTAAAATCAACTTCATATTAAGTCCATATTTCTAGTCTTGACTTTAAGTGGTCATAGTTAAATAGTTAAATATCGTCGTCCGTTCTTGGTTTACTTCGCAACCTTGTTTCGTAATTTAAAAGGGATTAACTGGTAATTGCGACATGCTCCAGCTTTCTTTGTGCACCTGCTTGTCCTTGCATGATATGACTTTGTTATTTTAATGTCATGTTATGCAAGATATGTTTGCTTGCAATCGCACATGCAGTGTTATGGAAGAGCTCGAGCATTGCCTTGAAGTTTATTTCTCTACATTATATTATGCTTGGTCCTCGCATGTGGTGGGATTTGTTCCACAACAATTTGAAGCTTATGATTTTTTAATTTATTTGTTCATAAATCATATCGATGATTGCAAAAGATATTCAATGTGATGATAATATGATCAAAAAATAGTTATTGAGATTAAAATGTGAGATTGAATAGTGCAATGAAGTCTAGCGGCTTGCCGAAACGTTTCAGTTAAAAATACAGCCGATTACCCTCATCGCAGCGATCATGTTAGTTGATTTTGCGATGGCTTCTATCACGGCAGAATTGATCGGCCATCGCCTAACTGTGGCTTCGTACTCTAAAAAGCTTGATGCTACTGGAAAAACTCATGTTTTGCAACAAGGGAATTTCACTTTCACAATTTTCCAATAGATAAAAACACGATTTCAGACTCTCAATAGAAAGTAATAATTCGCCCGTTTAATAAGTGATATAATAATTCGGCATTTTCATTACAAGATTTTTACACTGGGACATGTCTCCGAATCAAACGCTGCTTATCAGCGGTTGTCATAAGGTACATATAATTAACTTACTAATTAGCAACATAATAACATTGGTGCTAATGTAATAAGATTATTAGGCATAATTTTCAGCGCATTGTATTCTTTTAATCTCCTTCATATAGAGCAGAATTTAAAGCTCCTCTCCCTGAGCTTTCCATTGATGTCGCCTATAAGCTTGATGGGAAACGCTCTACACGCGGAGCGACCTCCAGTCTATAACTTCCAGCAAGAAGAACGCTGGACTTATGAATGAAATTTATGTGAAATGAAAGATGAAATTCAGCCGAACTCATTTATGAAATTTACTTGGAGTTTAGGCAATAATTCATCTGAAGTCAAGCAAGTAATTCAGCTGGAATCAATGATATAAGGAAGTCAAGGATTCAATTCAGCTGAAGTCACGGAATTATGTCAGCGGAAGTCATGGATCCAATTCGGCTGAATTCAAGGCAGTAATTCAGCGGAATTCAAGGATTCAATTCAGCTTAAGTCAAGAAATTAATTCAGCGGAAGTCAAGGATTTAATTCAGCCGAATTCAAGGATTTAATTGAGCTAAAGTCAAGTAATTCAGCAGAAGTCAATGATTTAATTCAGCGGATTTCAAGGAATCAATTCAACGGAAGTCAAGGATTCAATTGAGCTGAAGTAAAGGAAGTAATTCAACGAAAGTCAAAGATTCAATTCAGCGGAATTCAAGGTAGCAATTCAACGGAAGTCAAGGATTTAATTCAGCAGAAGTCAAGGAATTAAGTCAGCTGAAGACCAGTAAGTAAGTCAGCAGGACTGGAATATAAATCCGGTGGAATGGAATATAAATTAACCTGCAGATGTCGTCGCGTTTCCATGCGGAAGTCTTTGACAATCTTCAAGAAATTCTCGAATGTTCGTATGATTGTTTGGATAAATTTGAACTTTAATGACTAATAAATATGCTTTGTAGAAAGCTAAGGGCATTGCGATACAAACCGGCAATAATATTTATTGAGGAAAAATTCAGGAACTAGCTGCAAATTATTATAAAATATCACAACTTTTTTGAAGAAATGCTTCGGCCGACACAATGACGTAGGCAATGACTGGCCTGTGTCATGACGCAGTGACAAAAGCAATGAGCAATGACTGACCTGTGTCATGACGCAGTGACAAAAGCAATGAGCAATGACTGACCTGTGTCATGACACAGTGACAAAAGCAATGAGCAATGACTGACCTGTGTCATGACACAGTGACAAAAGCAATGAGCAATAACCGGCCTGCACCATGACACAGTGAAAAAGCAATGAGCGATGACTGACCTGTGTCATGACACAGTGACAAAAGCAATGAGCAATGACTGGCCTGTGTCATGACACAGTGACAAAAGCAATGAGCGATGACTGGCCTGTACCATGACACAGTGACAAGAGCAATGAGCAATGACTGGCCGAGGTCACGAGACTGGCAATGATGACACTCCTGATTCAGTTAAGGATGCCATCTGCTCGCCGCTGTCCTGCTGATCAGTTTTGTCAGCGCTAATAATCAAGATGGGAACTCAAGACGGCATATCAGGTGGCGAAGTAATAATCATAAACTATAATATGGTTTGTGAACTTTATTTACTATAATAATCCTTCTCCTAGTTTGCATGCTGTTGCATGTGCGTTTTTTGACCAACCAACAATTAATTTTTTAGTGTTAAAAAGTAATTGAACTTATATAACGTATGCAAACATCACTAGTATAGGAAGTGAAATTCCGCAACTGAACTTTTGAATCTCTGGAAAACTTCGCTTCACATAATTCTCCGTTAACATTTTTCCTGATATAACCCAGCATGAGGAAAGGAAACTTCACACTAAAGTACGTTTAAAATTCAAAGCCAACGCTGTGGACGGAATTCTGCATCTTTCCCCGGCGCCTGAGTGTGTGATTGTGAGCCTATAACCCCGCGGGTTGAGGAAGAAATTGCGGGTAGCGGCGCCCATTGGTCTGTGTATATGCAAATCCTTAGGCCAAGGATCTGTGTCAACACAAGAAATTCGCACAGCCGGTGCTGCTGATCCTTTCCCGGTGCGAAGGAGGGTTAGAGTAAGAGAATTTATTTTTGGGAAATAAATAAAATGTAATTCTTATATTTTGACCACTTCTGCCACTCCAGCAGTCCTGTTAGAAATGCGGGAGGCCCGGTGGAGTTGCAAAATTATATACCTGAATGCAGATCGTGTGGCATTATCTTTTTAATAATAACGGGTTCGTGAAACCTTATTTACAATTGGTATTAATTTTTTTAATTTCTTGCATAAAATATGCCCAGCAACACAAAGGATGCTACCGAATTGCTCGTGATGCATTGACAGCTTACAAAGGATTATACGCCCGTGAAAATGGTCAACCTGTTTTCAATTAATTTATAACCAAATATTCGAAATTTGCGTATTAAATCATATACATTGAAACTAAATCTACTATTTGTGTTTTTTTTACGATAAATTTCTTAACAGAATAAGGTGATGCCAAATTCGACTTCATTTTCCGCTGGTAACCCATGGGAGCTGGCGTGCAGTCCTCTAATTTGTTTAGTTCTCTCACGCTTATTGGCTGCATTTAAAAGCAAGTCAGATCTTTCTAAAATTCCAGAAATTTAATTCAAAGTCGTCTCAGATTAATATATTCTAAAAGAAATTGCATTGCTGTTCAAAAATACATTATAGCCATAATGATCGTAAAGCATAATTTCTAATTTATTTTTTTTCCAGAATAATTCTAATCAGTCTTTCAGTTATCAAGTTTGTGCAACAAATCGAATTTATTCCGCCCAGCATGGCTGTCGTTCTCTCACCATTCCGGAAGTCGAAGCTGCTTCATGTCTTCAACACTTTCTTTGGTGAGAATGAAATTGTTATTATGATTATGAACTTTTTGATTATATAAGTCCTTATCTTATTTTTGCATCTGTATATAATACATATAGAATCTATCGATATCGAATATATCACCTATCGAATATGTATCAGAAATACATATTCCTGATACAGAGCCTATCCCTAAAATACCCAACGTTGAAACAATCAATAATGTTCCCACAAAAACTTGCTCCACATTTCAGCGACTATAAATTTTTTATTCCGCTTTATTTAGTAGCAATGACACTTTTCCAGATGTGAACCAGAGCGGTGAAATCGATGAAAACGACCTGGAATTGGCAGTGAAGGTAAGAGATACTTCATCATAAAATGACTAATTTAATTTCGGATACAAATTTATGATATACGATAGATTTACATTGAGCGTTTTGGGTACGTTGCTGCAGTTGTATTTCTAAAATTTGTAAAAAACAGTTCAATATTTTAATGAAACGTGATTTAATGTTCACAATTTAAGGTAACTCGTTTACTCTCCACTAATGCCATGGCAACAACCTGCTTGATGGACATGAAAGAGCCAAGAAATTCAATTATAAAAATAACCATCAATTTCTTAGCAAGTCTCTCCAGATACAAATAACTCTAAATATATATCACGGAAGTTGGCTATCGTTCAGCTTTTTTTCAACAAATCACATCGCTTATCCCTTTGACCTCGGCATGAGCTTCTTTTGGAAGCTACAAAGATATCAACTTCAAGACACTCTCTTAAACTTAACTAACTTCGGATATAACTTTTCTGAGTCTCGTCCAAGCCGGAAATAAATCGAAGGGCTGTCTTTTCGGCACCACTTTCAGTCTTTTCCAGGGAGGATCACGTCGAAGAGGGAGACGTCTGAAGGCTTCGTATTTTGCCGGCGGAAATAGTGATGTTGCGAACGTGGCGAAATGTGGCATGCCTTCAGATCTTGTCGTCAGATTTGAAAATGCGTGTAGTAATGCTTTTTAATTTTTAATGTTGTGTTTTCGGAAGAAATGAATCTCAGTTTGAAAATAAATTGGTGCCAGTTAAATTCATATTTATCATAAGAAACAGAAACACAACGTGAAGCGGTTAACAGTGCAGGGTTTTTAAATTTTTAAACGTAATCATTATCGTTATTTTCTGAAGATAATTTGAGAAAATAATAATCATAGAGAATAATTTTTGCTCCAAATGCATCATGACCAACATTTAAATCGGCACTTTTTCACATATACATATTAACGAGTGATATCCTATTTAGTAGGAATGGTTATCTTAGACTTAAATAAATTAGCCTGACTTATTCGCTGCCGCTGAAGTCCTCTTGAATCTTCATTCCCCGACAGAAAACAAGGAATTTTACGATCCAATCTCCGGAGATTCCCGCTCCGTTGAAGAAGTTTTGAGCCAACGGAATGGTCCGCAGTTTTATTTTCAGTGCTAAAGACTGGACCTGGAATTATCGGTATTGGATTGTCCGGATCATGTTAGGGCTTTTATTAGTTTCAATCGAAGATGAATCTTTTATTAGAATTAGCGTAAAAATGTTCACTGCAGATCCAGGGAGTTAAATTTTAGAGCTAGTTTATCTTCTAGGCCATTTTAATTGCTGAACTTCTTTATGAAATTATAGAATACAGGAGTGAGATGAAACTGATTCGTAACAAATCAATTAATTATAATAACAAATTAAAAATCATTGAAAATATAGGTTTGTTTCATCTTCTTTCTTAGATACCAATTTCTTAATCTTAATCCCACCTATCATACATATTGAATTCACTCAGTTCAACAAGTATCACATATAGGATCGACAGTTATAAATTATTAATAATTTCAAGATGGAAATATTTTTACCTATCATACATCTTTTTAACTTTGACACTCGAATAAATATTGTTTAGTTCCATTATGCACTACATTATTTATAAAGATTCTCGATTGATATAAATAATTTCAAATACTGTTTTAATATTCAGTTACTACTGCCTTACTCGTGTTCTTCAAGCGAGCGAATATTTCATCAATAACGACTATAAAATGGACAATAATTAACACAAATAATGTTAATTATAGAGCGTGTGTGGGCCACGGGGTTGGGGGAGAGCGATCCTAAATAATGTTTTGGTATTCAGTTACCACTGCCCGACTCGTGTTCTTCATCAATAATGACTATAAAATGGACAATAAATAATAAAAATAATGTTAATTGTAGAGCGTGTGTGGGGCCAGGGGTTGGGGGGAGAGCGACCCCCATTACGCCAACACGCAGACTACGCTGCGCACGATCTGGCGGGTACTCACTTCCCGCGCCGACAAGGACAACGACTCTAAGGTAAAAACTTACCCTAACAAAAACAACTTACCCTAACAAAATTTAGAGTCGCCCCAGCTTCTGGTAGCCGACAGAGACAACGACTCTAAGGTAAAAACTTACCCTAACAAAATTTAGAGTCGCCCCAGCTTCTGGTGGCCGACAAGGACAACGACTCTAAGGTAACAACTTACCCTAACAAAATTTAGAGTCGCCCCAGCTTCTGGTAGCCGACAAGGACAACGAATCTAAGGTAAAAACTTACCCTAACAAAATTTAGAGTCGCTCCAGCTTCTGGTAGCCGACAAGGACAACGACTCTAAGGTGACAACCTACCCTAACAAAATTTAGAGTCGCCCCAGCCTTGGTAGCCGACAGGGACAACGACTCCAAGGTGACAACTTACCCTAACAAAATTTAGAGTCGCCCCAGCCTTGGTAGCCGACAAGGACAACGACTCTAAGGTAAAAACTTACCGTAACAAAAACAACTTACCCTAACAAAATTTAGAGTCGCCCCAGCTTCTGGCAATCCGAATCAGAAGCTGCCGCGTCTATAAATTTTCACAGGGTAAATACCTTAAATGTAATTACTCCTTAGTAAATAATCAAGGCAACCATTCAAATATATATATAAGAGTTACATTACATAAATATGTTGTACTATAGATTCTTGTAAATCATTACTTTCTCGGCACCTAATTAATATAATTGGATCACTTATGTTTTTAATTTCATCTCGCTAGAACTATACAACATTAAATAATAATTATTCATAATCATATCTATAAATTAGAACTAATCAGTTCTCAATAAACGGATGACTTCAATAAAAAGATGGCGAATTTGATGAAGAAGAAATGTCGGCATTCACGAATGATAAAAATGAAGCATGAATAATTTAAATAATCATACTAGAGCAATTCTAAACTTCTAACCTGAACGTTAAATTATCTATTAACTTCACCATCAAAGAAGAAATTCATCAAGGTGAGCGCGGCTCGCTCAATCAGAATTTGAAGTTCAACGACTTGTTCCGTATTGTTTTACAAGGAATTTTCTGCTGCCTAATGAGAGACGAGGAGCAATCCTTCAGTCTCTCGCAGATCCTGTAGGAGGGAGGGATCCTTTGGTCTCTCCAAGAAATCTCGACGTAATCGATCGAACTTCAAAACAAACTGTAAACCTTTGATACGGAGCTAATTTTGTAGGGGTCGTCCTGAAATTTCAACCGCCCCGTACGTTCGCTTTAATGAGCAAAATGTGAGAGAGAACTTCGCCTTGATTTGGTTTGCTCGTGACCAAGTCAGATATGTTATTGACGAGTTTTTGTTAATTTATGATTAGATTTTAAGTTAAATTATTTTTGAGTGTATTGAACAAGCAAATTTTGGCAACCGACTTTAAATCTTCAAGTCGCGGGAAACACATTTGACTGATTGACAATGTATTGGTTTCAGGAGCAACGTCATTGCATTATAAGGAATTTCGAAAACTTTCTCCATACATCAAGAACATTGCTCAAGTTATTAAAAATTTTTAATGGACACAAACCCTGCACAAGTTCTCTCCGAACAACTCTCACCGAAACCGTCGAGTGTTTGGCTTCATTAGGAACTTCTGAACAACTAGCTAAGCCACAACGACATCTCGTCATGAAAGGCCCAATATTCTCCCTGCAGATCAGTCATTTATTTTCTTCCCTTTGAAGGGCAGCTTCATCTTCTCCAGTCGCCATAAAAGTTTGTTGCCAGAGTCCTAACGCTTGCCTCAGTGCGGCGACAGCATTCGTTGCCATATTTGTGGCCCTTGACTAAGTTTGTTGCCTTACAGGCTAACTTCAATGAAAGTTCGAGCACAACGAAGTTATGACGGCAGTAAATTGGGTTCTTCACTTTTCGATTAAGGCACGTAATAATGCATACCAATGGTTTATTAATATGCCTAGAAGCAAGTCTAAGATTCGAACAATTCAAGCAAAGTGATTGGTTAACTATGAATGATTGTTCGTGAAAATTTTTTATCATTAATCTATTTGGGTTGGTAATCGTAAAGGTGAAGGTGTAAAAAGCTGAGTAAAAAAAGGAAATTAAATTTTCCCTTAATAAAGATTATCAGAGAATTTATACGGAAAACCTTGCTTAAGAAAATTTTTTGAAATTGAGTTGTCAAATTCATGACGGTTTTTCAGATAACGGGTTGATAATGTAATTGCCTTTTGCTAAGATCAACAAGAAATACAACTTTAAAATGAATATCGAACACACAAAGTTTCAATTAGAGGCAACAGAATATAAAAAACCTAGAGGCCTGGGTAGCCGTTAAAAAATAACGTTTTTTCCTGCCGTGCGATTCTGAGCCAGTGACCACGAACTAACAGGAGGGAGGCGAACGGATGTTATAAAATAAAAACAAGAACACACTGAGTTAGTATGGATGTTGTAAACAAGAACACACTGAGTTAGTACGGATGTGTTAAACAAGAACACACTGGGTTAGTATGGATATTGTTAACAAGAACACACTGAGTTAGTACGGATGTGTTAAACAAGAACACACTGGGTTAGTATGGATATTGTAAACAAGAACACACTGAGCTAGTACGGATGTGTTAAACAAGAACACACTGGGTTAGTATGGATATTGTAAACAAGAACACACTGAGTTAGTACGGATGTTGTAAACAAGAACAAACTGAGTTAGTACGAATGTTGTAAACAAGAACAAACTGAGTTAGTATGGATGTTGTAAACAAGAACACACTGGGTTAGTACGGATGTTGTAAACAAGAACAAACTGAGTTAGTATGGATGTTGTAAACAAGAACACACTGAGTTAGTACGAATGTTGTAAACATGAACAAACTGAGTTAGTATGGATGTTGTAAACAAGAACAAACTGAGTATGGATGTTGTAAACAATAACACACTGAGTTAGTACGGATGCTGTAAACATCGTACTAACCCTGGGTTAAAACTAAATGCATACATAAACTTATGACGCATCCAGCACTTCATTTAATTGACACTAGTGTTAGTAGCATTCAATGTATTCGCTCCGATATGATCACAATTTATTCATAGAAGGAAAGGGCGCTTGTTGGCGTCAGTGGTTACTCAGCTCGAGTATGTAATTTGAATGATAATCTGATATAAAGCTCATCAGTATTTAGCCTTTATAATATATACTAATTATATAATTGGTACTTTAGGTATGTGCTAAAATTTTTAGATTTAAGAGGTTACATAGTTTCAGCCACCACCCAAATTACTATAATATTACATTTTATTTTTCCTGAATTGATCAATGTTTTAGATCAGAAGCTTCGCCTAGTCACCAGTGCAACTTTAAATCGGGCAATAATTTTACAGATTTCTCTCGACGCTCCAAGTTAGAAAGCCACCAGTTAAAGTTTAGTCGCTGAAGTTTGCTCTCAAACTTTACAAATTGGTCCCTGGATACACTGAATACTTCAGGGTGTTTCTTTGACACAAGTTAGTATGGAGGTGAGCTCGTCAAAAGGTCTGATGTTTCAAGTCGTAAGAAAACAAGCGGGAAGGAATAAAGGTTTTCTTTATTCATCCCCGTATTTTTGAAATGAAAGTATTCGATTGACGGCAATAAATAACAGTAGACAAAATTGTTCAATAGCAATCGGGGAAAAGTCGGACAAAGAATAAGGCCGAGGCATTCGACTGATCAGCCTGAGTGCCGACCTTCGGCAAGAAAATTTGCTAGAAATCTCTGGAAGCTCCACTTCCTACTCCGCGCTCATCACTTTCACATTTTCTTTCTTTAGAGTCACAGAGAAATGTTCAGTACAATAAGGTTGACTGAATGAGATCTCTTATTGTAGTTAATCCTCAAAACAGTAAATAAGGAAGTAAAATGTCGTCCAGAGAAAGTTTATTCGTTGATGAAATTGAATGAAATTTTACATTATTACAAACCAGTCATAAATTTATGAAATTTTGACATTGTTCACAAACGGGTGCGTGCTCATCATTAACGCGGTTAATTATTCATGTTTAAACACTGTAAGATGTTTAATTAATTTACAGTGCTCCTTTAAAATTTTCTCTCTGGGAGGCATAGGGTAACGTGGGGCAGCGCGCCCCCCACTTTCTTTAAACTAAATTTTTGATGAAGTTTTAATTGATACGAGGTGGTTCTTTGTTTTGTTTAAAGGTGCAACTAATGAGGAATGTATGATGAAGAGAACACGGACCAATATCTGCCATACTTAGCGAGAAACCCGCTATGGGCCCGTGACCCGCAGTGGGCTCGCTGCCCCATGTTACCCTACCATGTTTATGCTGTTAAGTTAAATGATTCAAGTGCTTGTAATTATGCCACTAACAGACTGGATATCATATATAGACTCAATATAATAGACTCGGAATTATTTATTTAAGTCTACGAATCTGTGCTCTGGGATATAACACTTCCATTAATAATTATTAATTTTGAACTAATGGGGTTATATGTTGACCTATGATTAAGGGGATGCAGTGTATATTACATACCATGCAGTGTATATTACATAACATGCAGTGTATATTACATACCAGTGCATGTGTCATACATATCTAAATCCTCGTTTTCATTAAAGGTTTCGTTTACCGGCTACCCTCCGGAAAAACCTTCTACAGTTATCATCCGATCATCATGAAATTTCACATACATACGTAAAATGTAAAAATAACAACATTTTGCTTCTATGAATTTTTCGAAAAAATTAGGAGGACTCGTCAGGTGAGGGAAGGCAGAGGGACAAGACCTTCAGGGACCTCATGTTCCTGCTGGAGGACTCGTCAGGTGAGGGAAGGCAGAGGGCAAGACCTTCAGGGACCTCATGTTCCTGCTGCAGGAAATAATAAATATCCTGAGGAAATAGTAAAAATTATTTACGAATTTCACTCTCCAATAAACGCGTGCTACTGCTTTGAATTTTAATTAATTTTCGAATTTTATTAAAAAATTTGTCGCGGTGTACAGGAGATGGAGCGATCGACGTGGCGGAGTACACGGCGCTGTACGTGGCGCTGGGTATACCGAGGGAGGAGTGTCAGCAAGCCTTCAATAAACTCAGCAAGGTTATAATTATTATAATATGATCATATTATTATGTTATTATATTTTTATATTTTAAATAATAGCACTTACTACTTAACTTACTGCAACTTCAGCATTTTTATCGCGAGCCTAGCAAGGTTTCTGTAATAAATTTTTGAAGAGACATGAAAAGTGAACAAATTAGACGGGACAATTTGCAAGTTTGACAAATTTACGAATATATGGTAGATAAAAATGCTAGTCTAAACAAGCGATGACACCAGATCCAATTAGTATTTATATTTTAGATCATATCGAGATGCAAGATTGTTTATCGTCTGCAAAAATTAATTTAAGTATAAAATCGCTCGTGAATTTACTAGTTTATTTTCCGTTTTTGCTGTTAAATTTTTGGTAAACTTGAGATTTATCTAACCAATGATATAAAATCTTACCTACCACATAAGTTGTGATGATTAAGTAATGATCTTCTAATATTTACAAATATCGTTAAGTTGGAAAAGGTGGTTACGAAAGAGTGTTTCAACAATCAAATGGCACCATATTTCGATCTAGTTTTGCCTATATCAGCGCCATCGTACGAGCGAAATTTGCAATGTATCATGCAATATTAAAATTTTATGTTGAATAAAGTTGATGTAGTTTTGATGAATTTTGTTTTAGGGAGAAAAGGAAGTGACGAAGGAGCGTTTCGACGAGCTGTGGGAGGAGTATTTCCACAGCGAAGACCGCCATGCTCCCGGCAACTTCATTTTCGGGGTCACGGAGTTCGCTTCAGCCTAAACATTTCGAAGTATTGCCAGATTATTTATTTAATCCTGACACAATTGAATAATAATCGAGATTAGAAGTAGTTCCCTTTTCGTTCCTTGTTGATGAATCTTAGTCAAGATTTAGCCATACTATACCGTCTATACGGACATCCCTTTTTGAAACACACACAAATTGAATTCAACAGATAGACAATATTGTAGTTCTATTCAAGTTCGTTGAACTAGAATTTGAAGTGATTAATTTGTTTGCTTCACGTTCCAATTTAAGTTTTCGAATTATACAGCCTCTTTTATTCCCTTGATGGATTGTAGTAGAATTTGGGAAAAGAACCCTACTTTAAAAAAAAAATTCTTTGACAAAAACAGTGAAACGGTTACCTGTTTATTGTGCGCGTTATATATACTTGTAAACAAAATTCCACGCCAGCACTTACCAATGGAACATTCCAAAAGGTAACTCAGTAGATTTATTGCCTAAATCTAGAATGCACTGCAATTTTCTTAATCCAATAGTAAAAATGATTGTTTCTTAGTGCTACTGCAAAAAAATGAATAATTAAACGTTTGATATCTAATAGAATATACAGAGCATACCGTCTATTTCATGAACTAACAGCTCTGTCCGTCTTCATAGCTTACTGTGTTGTAGACCGACTTCGCTGGGTTTTTGAAGTCATGATGCAAGATTGTTTCTGCACGAGCCATTTTCCATTGTATACAAGACATGCTGGGTAAAATGTTAGAGTATAAATGATTAGTTGATGTTTTCAAGTTTTAATCTTACTAGAAAATTAACGTTCATTGTATGTTTGGGTGAGAATAAAGGCATTAGTGGATCGTCATTAGTAGATACATTTATTACTGTAAAATGAAGCATCTGTTGCTGGACCGTTTCAGTGTAAAGAGAATGAGAAAAACTTCCATCTTCTAGACGATTATAGGTGAATTTATCAGATTTTTAGCTATATTGACCTACATAGTTAGTTCTCATTGCACACGCACTTTTTTGTCTAATGAGATACAACACCGTGAACGTATAGTGAGTTTTTATAAAATCGCAGTTTGTCATTAACATTGATTTCGATTTTGGTGTAAAATTCATGTCGGGTTTGCAACGAAAAAATTACCGTAAACTAAAATCATTCTGATATATTTATATAAATATCAGAACATATATATATACCGACTTCAAAACTTTCTATGGGTCGTGGTGTATTTCAAACATAAATTTTGCGCAAGCGGTGCACAAATTTAAGCACTAACGACACTTTCATCATCGAATAAATAATGTGGAGCCGAAAATCCTCCATGAAAAGTTTTGCCGGTCTAAACGAGCTCATTTCACGGTTTAAAAACACAGAAAGGCCAAGCTTTTGACTTTATTAATTAGTGGTTAATGGCCGTTCGTACATGAAGTTAGCTCAGAAAAAATTTTCATGCAATTTTCGTCGGCTTTCCATGTGAAATTGTTTATTTGGATGGCTAAAAGTAATTAAATTATGTAAGAATTTAATTATGTAACCAATTATGTACTTATGTAATTAATTTAGTTCATTTCTCTTCACCTCGAAAATATTTCGTAACGCTCTGGCATGAAAGGATAAGACATTCCTCAATTTTCACGGGGCTAAAATTTTCGAGGAAATGGTATATTCGACAATTTTTTTTGGCATGAAATTCCTGGTTCAATTTCACACAGAGGTCACTCGTTTCTTTATGAATTTTAATAATTTATGTAAAACATAGATAAAATATTGTAACTCGCTTCCACAAGTACAAGCATTTTTTATTATTTCAGATTGGTTAATAAATAAACAACTCCTTTTCAACGTAATCTTATGGTTGTCTAATCCTATAACAATTTGATTCCCATTCCCGATTCTATATCTAGTGTACAAACTAATACCCGCAAACTCTATTAAATGCAAGTGAAATAACTACTCTCTTTTACTACAATTCAGAAAATCCTAGTCATAGTCAAAATTATTTTTAAAGAAATCCCGGGCTGTTAGGCTAAATCAGGACTCCGTGATTAAAACAAGTGATCGATTTGTGACTCATGTTTCGTAGAATAAAATGAGTTTGTTCAGTTTCTATCTACAGGACGCCTCGATAAACTTCACTGAATTTATCTTCATATAAATTATAAGAATTTGTGTGTGTTTCATTAATCAGAGCACCGAATTATAATCACTGAGTTATAGGCACACAGGCACATTAAGAATTTTTCCATATGTAGCCTCTAATTTTCATGCCGTAATATTATTATAGCCTAAAAAGTACTTAATTATTCATCGTGAAACCCCATTGAGTTTTATATTTAACACTTATACGAATCAAGAATTATTGTGGCTCAAGATCATTGATTTAAAAATAAAAAAACCCAATCCCCGATGAGAAGTAAGAATTTTTGCCGAGTTTGTCAAGGAATTTCGATCAATTTGCCGATACTGGAAAATATGACCTCAGGCTGCATCTCGCCGCGAAGACGTCGAGCATAGTTCCCCCTGTCATATGTCGCCACCGGCGAAGATTTATTAATGCAGGCATTCTGGAAAGTTGGGAAAAAGTTGAAAATGGACTCAAGGTGAGTCATGAATCATGCATCCACCGACATTTGATTGCAATACCTACGGAAAACGTGCAAACCGACGTACATATTTTTCAAATGTAAAGTAATGCGACAAAGACTCTGATGCATAATTACCTATAACTTATAAATTCGTTATGTGCAGGCGATTTTAATAATTTTTTTTTTCTTGTGCGTTTTTGAATCAAGAAACAAACTCATCATGATACGAAATATTGTTATCATCACTATGAAAATATCTAAATTGCATAAATTCCAATTGACGTACTGTTAAAGCTACCATAAATTTATTTTAAGGGGACCGACTACCCTCCGGAAAAACTTCTACAGTTATTATCCGATCATCACGAAACTTCAAATACATACGTAAAATGTAAAAAAAATAACATTTTGCTTATATGAATTTTTCGAAAAAATTGATAGAAAACGTGAAATTCATAGAAAACGGCAAAAAAGGGGTACTTTAGAAAATCTATCTCCTCCTACAAATATCATCCTACAGCATCGAGACACGTATCATTCGGTTTGTAAGGACCATACCTAAAAATTTTATGATCACTTTTCTCATTTTCCCCTTAGTTTTTTTATGCGCGTTTTATCCCATTTTTCTCATTTTTCCCCCCTCCCCCCTTTCGCCCCCATATAAAAAACGAACCAGACAGAAATTCAAAAAAGCGATCATCAAATTTTTAGGTAATTTCCTTACGAATCGAATGGTGTATGTCTCATTGCTGTAGCTTGAAAACTGTAGGAGGAGATAGGTTTTCCGTGACAGTAAGTTGAACTTTTCAGGACGGCGCGACAAAGTCCCGAAGAATGTCAGCTTTAAGATGAGACTAAGCATGTAACTGCAGCACAACTCAAGTAGAAACTATATTCAAAGATTTCAGCAGCTAATTACTTTATATCTAATTACTTAAAGAACTCTCCCACCCGCTTCCCTTTAAAGAGACGTCATTAACGTAAATATTAGCGTACAGCGATGGCAGTGGTACCATTGGAAAGAGCAGAATTCCAGCTTTAAGATGAGCTCAAAAACCGGAAAACGCCAAAATTGAAAATTTTAGGGTAGTCGGTCCCCTTAATAATTTAGTTAGCTGCGCTGAAGACAAGAAATGACTGACCGCATCATATTTATATTGTGGGAATCTGACATGTGGAGATATCCTAGACCTAGATTAACATTGCAGTGTGCAATACATAATCGAACATTAGAGCTTATCATGAGATGTACGGTCAAAGTGACATTGCAGATATCAGTCGCGCCTAGCAGTGTTCGTTGAACGTGTGTACCGTATGATTATATTCAATTGCTTGATCTCCTTCAATACAGTGAAAAAATTTCTTCTTTAGCCTGTCATTAGTTTTGAAATGAAAATATGTTTTTCTACCGCATATGAAAGATTTTCTATAAAAAAGTTTTATGTATAGCTAAGCCTGCAATGCTTCACTAATGCGCTCACATCGTTACGTACGGTATCTAGGAAAATATACACACTAGAGATGCTTGGCAGTACAACTGACACTTTCAAAATAGATGCCTCCTTGACCTTCAGCGTTAATTACTCTTTAAATAAATAAGAACAGCGCCCTTTTTATAATTCGCCTAATCTTATTCCTGTTTTAAAATAAAGCATTGCATCGATAACAACATGAATGGTTTCACGCAATAACACGTTTGAAATAAATTCATACTGGTACATTTCATTTTTTTGCAAAATTTGTCTACTCGTAAATAATGCAATTTTTCATCTAAATTGTAATATTGACTATGAATATAAGTTTAACACATTTTCCAAAAAATTAAGTAGGTTCACTTGTAATGACGACAATATTAAAAAGTAGCATTTGTAGACGTTGCTACTCTCTGTGCTGAAAATCAATTGAACATCGATCGTACAGAAGTTCAGAACCGCCTGCTAGTAACTGGGTGTCCATTGTGTGTGAAGGATGTGATAATACACGCTCCCGTTCCCAGTCCCAGCTACCTACTCAAAGTATTTTCATTTCTTGGCAAAATTCTTTTCCGTCTATAATTTGCTATTAAAAAATTAAGTAGATCGCTAAAAGTTTCAACTACAAATTAATTGCTAACATCTAAAGTAATCCCATTAGCATACAATTAAAATAATTGCAAGTCGAAATAACTTTTTTATCAATTATTTAATATAGTTTTATAGACATTTTTTGAACGGAAGAGTTTGCTATAAATTTGAAGTAAATCATTTGATTCGGTGCATTTATTTTCTTTGAATTTAGAAAATAACTTCTTTGCTGAGTTTGCTCAAGATGCGGGTTCAGTTAAATACGGTCTTCTTTACAGGTAAGTGCTAGTGTAGCGTACTTTCAAGTAAGCATTGCGCGCCAATTCAACGACGTACGGTACTGTATTGTTCATCCATGAAATCAATATACATATAAATAATATACAATACGTAGGCGTTTGTAAGTGCACAACTTCGTTCTCCCGCTATGGCATTCACGTCAAGTCGTTGGCCAGATGCTCTTATTGTGACTCATAACTATCACTTGTGCCGAATCATTGCTTGGGCGTAACATCAATACATGGTCAAACTTGTGCTATTCAGTCGCCCACTTGCTAAATTTCTTGATGCGCCAAGCCGCCAACTGTTCGTCTATGTTCTGAGACGACTCTCCCAGCTGTAAATAAATGTTGTCTTGAAGCTTTTCTGACCAGTGATTTTCCCGCTGAAAAGAATTATAAGAACTTTTCGTACTAGAATTTTTTTTCTATTAACGAAAATCAATACTTACAATTGAATTTTGATGAAGTTTAACTTAAGTGAGGAGCGTAAGAGATTTTCATTTCCTACGCATTGGTGATGTTTACACAGCGATAACTATTGCATCGTGTTTGATCAGCTGGTGTAGACTGTAGTGTAGAGTAGAGGCGTGGCTGAAGCAGACAAAACTAAATTTTTCGGTAAAAGTCTATCCCAAATGAATCAATTATAAATATTTCACCCTGTTTACATATTGATCATATAATTTATTTTGTTCTCTTCAGTCACTTATTAAACTTGAAATTATTTCTCCTGTTTGTTTAATGTCGTGACAGTCGTGTCACTTGTCTTGAAGTTGTGTGTAATAAAATAATCATCAGTGTCTCAAGTCCTGAGCTAGGCCTAGTGGATTGTAATTTCATTGAACAGATGTATGACGAGAAACAATAAAAACATAAGCAGCAAGATTTCTTTAGCAATATAATATTATTGCCGTGCTATCTATTACCTAATCACATTTTAGTTCCTAACTTCCTAAATTCCTGACAGTGACAGCCTGACAGGTTGACAGCCTGACATGATGATGATGGTATGATTTGCAGATTTAGATTTTAGTAGGATCTGGATATAAAATGTGATTTCAGAAATTCAGATTCTGATTTCTGAAATTCCTGAGTGAATGAATGAATTTTGGATAATTGAAACAACTCAAACAAGCGGAAGTTAACTCTAGCCATCCATGTTGTAGAGGCCAGACAGACAAAATAGGTGAATATTTAAAGATCTTTGGAGTTTGGGAATCAAAATTTATATCTCCACATAGTCTTGATATTGAGATTTCTGTTTAAATGTCTCTCTAACAGTCTTAGTCTTTATATGTCTTAGATTTTGGCAATAAATTTCAATCAAATATTTAGGTAATTATGGCTGCAAATTATCAATAATAGTATAAGTAATACTGTTGATTCTTATGGTCTAACAGGAGGATTTTGTTGACACAATTGTGAAACTCTGCATAGTGGAGTTAAGTCCAAGCTGCAAAAATTCATTATGATGCTCAAACATTAACAAAGGGTTTACCAGGGCTTACTAGGTCTTTTTTTATCACAAGTTCAACATCTTGCCAAAATTCTAGCTGCCAAATGCTACAGTAATGATTCCAAACTGGTATGCATGACTCGTCCACTCATAAAACTCTGAGCCCTGAGGTTGTATAAATTTTCTCAGAATGTTAGAAGAAATATTGGGTGAAAGGGCTTGTGATGGTGTGAATCGATGGATGTTGTAATGTTTATATTTTTTTAAACTTGGTTAAGTTAGTGTGCTAATTTGCTTTAGACAGTTGCTGGTGATCAAATTAATATTATACTCAACAATTTTAAATATATTATATGTATATGATGTTCTTGGTGTAACATTTATTTATGGTATTTCTCAACTATAATATTTCAGACAAATTTATCAATGAATTCCTGCCAGCCTGGCATATTCTTATGTATCCCAGTGGGTTTGGTGTTTAAAATACATTTTCGTAGCTGTGTATACCGGTATTAATTTTTCTTGATATGTTGTTGGTCTTGCAATTACTGTCTAATATTTTCTCGAATTTGTTTGTAAACTAAATAATTGTACCTTTTTCAGGATTCCTGAATTTTATAGCTTCTGCAATGGGATCGTCCATCCCAGACGTTGACCAATATTGGCCAGAGGTGGCAAATGATCTCAGCAAGGTGACATGGTCACATGCAACCAACAGCAAGGCACTTCTTCAAGAGGCTCTTACAAGTCAGTTCCAACTTCTGAGACATCTCAATGTTGCATGGGACTTAGGTTGCTTTGTAACCTAACCTTATGGCTTTTTTCTTTTAATTCCTATTTGGTCAATTCAATTTTCAAAAACTATTGTTTTCTCTCTAGTCCAGACATGGAAATAATAATTTCTAAAGTAAAAGTAAATTTCAATGAGTGATAAATGTTATTTTTTTAATATCAGCAGTTATTATACACTAATTAATCTGCCTAAATTACAAGCTCAACAAGACCATTCTTGATGTCTAAAGTTGATCAGTTCTGCCATTACTTGCATTAGCCTGGGAATCTTGGCTTTTCATTGACTGTTGAAAAATAAATCTTATTATTTTCATTATAAGGTAGACATTGTCCACCTCAAACAATATTGTTTATAATATTGTCTAATAATATATAGAAACAATGTTATATAGTACCTAATCATCGACTTCTTCTTAGTACAAATGCAGGTTATTTTTTAAATTTCAAATAATTTTATACACCTTGTCCTGTTTGCAGAGTAATGCAAGAAGTCACTTCATTCCTGATACTAAACTGGTCAACATTGGCATAAACGGGATTAATTATATTCATTACTATCACTTCCTAAGACCCAATACTACGTTTTCCTGTTTAAAATTATATTCTGCTGTGTGTTTCAGATGACACAATAATGATGATTGAAGCTGACATAAGTATGGGACACCTCCAAGGCAATCTGTCAACTGATCCACTGCCCATAATGGCCCATCCTCCACACAAAACATCTGATCTCTCTTTTGAGATGTTCTTAGATACTGTTTTAGTAGCTACAGCACAGGTGAGCTGGTTATTGATTTCTGTCTATCTTATAGACTTATATCCTTTCTTCATATACATTTATTTTCATCAAATGAAAGTGGTTGGATATCTTTTTTGCATGCTCCTTGAGGCTCTTTCCTTGATGCTATGTAAGAAAAATTTACCTTTTGGTTGTGATTTTAATCATTTCTCCTTAGAATGCTGTTATTTCCAATTCTATTATTATTTTCAGAATGAGACAAAGAAGGGGATCAAATTGGACTTCAAGGACGTTAATGCTGTCAGAAAATGTCTGGATTCGCTTAACATTCAGAGAGATCAAGTAACTTCTGGTCGAGATTTTTGTGCCTCAAAATCAAATGATATAATGCAGTATATTCCTTTATTACCTTATATAATGTCACATACTATTCATCCTATGTTATTTTGGTATCAGAATATTAATTTAAGTACAAATTTCATCTTAGATCGTTCATCTGATTTGAACTCTGTAAATTGATATTGTTCACTGTAGGATCCTAAAAGTATCATGCAATGTAAGAAAAGAAATATTATTCAAGTGTTTTTCAGATAAATTTCCCAGTTTGGCTGAATGCAGACATAATTTCTGGCCCAGTGGATGCAGTTAATACTCCTGTGGATCCTGACACATTCTTGCCATTGTGTGTAGAATTTTTTCCGGAGGTAAGTAAGTGGAGCTAGTAAGGTTTTTTCTGAATCCTAGTAATCATGGTTTCACGAATTTTCGTTTTTTAAATAACAAGTTTATCTTCAGCAATAAATGCATTTGAAACTTGATTGGCTGGCAGGAATTTTGCATCAAGTCTGTTAGATACGGTATTGTTAGTTATTCGAAATCTCAGTATGTCTTTAATTATATCATCATGTCCTTTGTACTCCTTTCTTGCCATTAATTATCAAACATCAATTGCAAGACCAGAAAGTTGACATGTTGAAGCAGAAACTTTATTTCTGACAATTCGATGAAATTCTGTAGGCGGTGTTGAAGGACAAACTCCTTGATGTAGTCAGTAAATGCATAAATCTGTAGAACAAGTAAATGCACGAGTCTGTAGGCCTGAAACGTGTATTTGAAACGTGGGTCAAACATCTACAGCAAATTGCATCCATAGTATTTTTTTTTAAATCTGTGGAAACTATTATAAGTTTAAAACTCGAACTTAAATGCTTCTTATGTACAACAACTGAACTACTAACTTTAACTGTCGTCCGGGGTACGTTTTCGGTTGGTTCGACCACAGTTTCACTTACAAAAGATTCGAAACTAGAATTTAAATGCTTACAACTTATTGACAACAACTACTTCTACTGGCATTCAGGGTACGTCGTCGGTTGGGTAGACCACAGTTTTTTCGCATACAAGAGATTCGCAACTTGAACTTTAGAACTAGAATGCTTTCAACTTATTGACAACAACTACTTCTACTGCCATGCAGGGTACGTTGTCGGTTGGTTGGACCACGCGCTTCACTGAAGCAAACGACAGCAGGGCCCACTACACCACGGACCAGGTGAAGCAGATGACGGACGCTATAGAGCGCAACCACGTCACCCAACCTATCACCTTCCCCGTCCGCGCTGCCTTTGTTGAACTCTCCCTGGACATCTTATCGTGGCTGCTGGATGCCGTGGGTTGCGTTACTTTTATTACAACACTTCTCTTTAACTTCACTTCTTATTGTTTGTTTGTTTGTCTCTGCTACAAATCTTATAATCTATATTTAACACACTTCTACCTGTCCAATCGATCTGAAATTTGGCACACTAGTGTAAAGTTGGATACAATTCGTGCATCAATTGACAGAATAAAAAATTTTGAAAATAAAAAAAAAAATTCTTCTGCTACATGTCTTAAAATCGCTATTTAACATACTCCTACCTGTAAAATCTATTTGAAATTTTGCACACTTGCGTAAAGTTGGAGACAAGGCATGATACAATGGACACAATAAATAATTTTTATACATAATTTTTTTTTAATTTTAAAACTAAAATTTAAAAATTACTTTTTTAATATTTGATAATAAAATTAGACATTAATTCTACTGTAAATTTGTAACATCACAGAAACTGAATTCTTTAGAAGTGTTCTTTAAAAAGTCATTTTTAAACGCATATTATTTGTTTTTGTTCTTATTACACAAATCTGTTCAACTATTAGCTTCGTTTTCACGCAGAATCAAAGTGTTGATTCTGTTTGCACCTAAATAAAGTCTTTAACCTACTCATATTTTTGATTCAAGTTGCAGTTTGTCTTTTCAGGTAACTCTTTGATAGCTGTTATCTCCTGGACTACAAGACATGTAAATTTCTAGTTTCATAAATTATGTTTCTTCAATCAAATATATCTTTTAATTAGTTTTAAATTATGGGTTCATAATAAATGAGTTGAAGTAAAGGAATACTGCAGGTGCCCGACAGCACTCTAACGGTGTGGAGTTCAGAGTCCGACGAGTACAACATAGAGGCGCTAGTGTGGCTGCAGGACAGCGTTGGCGCTGATGCCGTCTACTACGACCTGCCTCCTGACCAACGCGCCGAGTTCGATAAACTGAGACCAGCGCAGACCCTAGGGTCAGCGTCGTCCGCAGACCCTTGCGTCAAGATATGGCCCAGAGGAACAGTTTTATGGGCTAGTCTTACTGCCGCCCTTGGAGCTGTTGCTGCTGCATATTTCTATGGTTTTGACTGACCCTGCGAACTGAGTAACAAGATGCATGACTGTAATAACTGGTAACGCGTGCCTTCGTTATGTCCTCTATAAGGACTCTATTCGCTGACTCGATGCAACCGTTTTGCATGCTTTGGCTGCCTGTTCTCTACTAACAAGTTTAGGTCACCTAATTTTTACAGAATGTAATAGTAATTAAAGCTGTCCAGCGTGCTGTGTGGTTCATGAGTGGGATATATACCCGAAGTTTGTAATATTTTCAAGAGCATCTTTAGAGTTACATGCCGATGTCATTTTGAATTAAACTTTTTTGTGTGATTTAAAGTGAATTTGAGGAGTGCGTGTTCAAACAGGAAAACAGCGTAGTTTTATTTTCCACTGTTGTACCGAATTTACAGCGATTTTGAGAACTACCGTGAATCAATTTTTTATCGATAACTGGTTATTCGTTTTTTCATCTTCCATGAGCTTGGACACTATCATTTTGCTCGACACAACTCCTATGCAGGTCGTCGTAGGAGGCAAGGTTCCTGAGAGTGCCCCGTAACAGAATTCGTATAGTCTGTACGCGAGGCTCAGATTTTTTTTCGAGTAATTCTTTTCTGTTTCTCTTGCATGCGATCGACGTATCGTGCAAGTGACCTAATTCGTGTGTATGTAAACCTGTGAAATTTTTTTTCCCAAATTCCAATTAATTTTGTTTTGGTTGTTCATCAATTTTTTGGCCTCATACATACCTGCAGCTCTGGACTTTGGTATAATTTGTGTAATTACATTCATTGCGACGCTTGATTTTATTACAAGTAAATCGCATCTGAGAAGAGAAATAGCTCATAGTATTTCGACGAATTGACAATAACTTGGCATGTCATCATATTTCTCAAATTTATGTCAGTTAGTTTTCAATCTATGCGCCTATATCCGAGTTTGCAGAATGATTCACATTTGTATTGTTTTCAGTCATATACCGCTCTTTATGTAATAAATAATATGAAGTCATCGAAACCATCGTATTCATTAAACCCTGCTGAACCTAGCGACAACGTGGCAGACTACGGGAAACGTGCCTATTCCTTTTTTGTTGCTGTTCAGCAATAAAATATTGATGATGAAGCCGGACGATAGTTACGAAATAGTGACGATACTTCAGGACGACATACTGTATGCACCATGTCGTTAAATAACTTATGTTACAATGGGCCGAAGATTGTCGCACTGAACTACAAATACTGTTGAGCAGAATGCGGAACGAAATGTATCCTAGCACATGCAACTGTTACTGAAGTGAGTTTTGTCTTCGTTACGAAGTAAGGTGTTGGCAAGACAATACCATGCACTTAACACATTGTACCCACAATTACACAAAATTCCCCTCAACGATTCGAGACACTTCTTCCATATGAACGATATATAATTATGTAGGTGTCGGACAATTTTACGGCCGGTCTCGCGGCTAATCTATAAATTCAATGACCAATGAATATATCCCTAATAATGAACGTAGCTTGATGAAACTTGCTACACGTATTTTTTAGGATCTAACGGCGATGTTTAGCTCGTAAAATTTTAATTCCATTTCACCTTTATTCGCGAGTTAAAGAGAAATTCGGACCGAAATTTGCTGTGATAAAAAAATTTCTTCCAAACTATTGAACAGGTTTGAACGAAACTTGAAATATACATTCCTAACCTTCCAACGGTGATGTTTAGCTCGTGATAATTTTTTCGATTTTACTTGCGTTTTCTATTTCGGCAGGAGCGGCTCACTTTCTGTGTGCCTACAGCCAGCGAAGCGGACGCTAAACTTGTACTCTCCACTTTTGATATGCTGCTGCTGTATAATCACGTACAGGGGGGTTTGAGGTCAAAGTTTTCACTCGAGCCATTTTTCCCAGGAGCTCAACCGTTAGAATATCATACTAATTGTCACAGACATGTACGCATATTTTTCCTACCAAACCTTCTTGTCGGATTTCCGAAATTCCCACTCCTTCCCCCCCAAAATCCCCAAAAAAGGGGAAAATTTGGTCAAAAAATTACCTAAAATGAGATATCGGAACCGATCATAGCTCGAAAAGTTGCAAACTCAGAGCAATGCGATTCATTTCAAACGAAAGGTAAAAGATTGGAATGTGTTTGGGATTTCGAACGATTTTTTGTCGGGTCAAAACTTCATCCCTAAATTGGGGGTCAAAGTTGACCCTGAAAAAATTGCTTTCGGCCATTTTTCGGTGGTTTTTCAACTCTCGCGGCCAAACCGTAAACATTTTTGCCATAGTAAAAGCGGGAAAAAGATGCGTCTTGTTGAGACAAACACACTGGTGAACACGGATTTTGAAAAAGTACAAAACTCACAAAGTTGTGAGCGAAACTTTGATCAACTTTGATCAATTTTTTACCAACTTTTTCACTTTTCTCTTCACAACTCTACGGAAAAATTTTGTATATTTTTTCAACAACCCTAACAATAAAGAAAAAGTCTTTGCCTTTAATTTGGACCCTGTTTCATGATCCTAGCTTCTATAGAGATCGAGATATGATTTTTCAAAGTAGACAATAATTGACAAAATTTTCGTCCAACTCGCCGTGGTCCGGTCGCTGCTCTGAACGTGTTCTACGAGTTTACTTTTTAGACTATTGTGCAAGCTGCGTAATTTTAGGAAGCTTTCTGCAAGTTGGTATCGACAGAGGATAAAATTGCGCTAATTACTGCCTATTTAACTCATTTTCAAAAAAATTATTTCTATTAGAAATTTAACGATCAAAAATAAACCGAGATTCGGTTCTGCTCACTTATAAAATACTTTATTAGGCACTTATTTTTTTAAGTTAGATACTCCATTCGTATATGGTTATTTACTTAAGCTCTTTAGCATTAATATTGCGAATAAAACTTCTCATATGTACCGTTAAAAATCGTTTTAATGAAGCAATAAGATTGCTCCCTGCCATGTATCTGCAGTCCTTGGGCCCAAACGTGAAGGCGTTATAATTCTTTATAGACCAAGATTGAAGAAAATTCACGCAAATAATCATTAGAAGGAAACTAAAATACTCTCTGGGGGGCCCGGGGGGTCTGCCGGGCCCCCTTTTTTGCAAATATTTGTAAGATGAAAGAGTAAGATTAAAGAGATATTCCTCCTTAGCCCGTATCTTAGCAGTCCACCTCAAACGACGCTCCGTTTTCTTCGTGACAATGAATTGAATCATGGATAACTACACTAATTCAACCGTGTTGTTGAATTAGTCAAAAGTTGTTTACATAATATAATGTCGAATAATATTCATTCTCCCGATAAAACCATCAATCGTAGTATGAGAAGGTATTTTTCAAGCAAATATTTGTTAAATTTTAATGTTAACTGAAAACTGCAATTAATAATTAATTCATTTAGTATGGGTTATTATTAAATCTAATTATATACATTTTATTTAAATAATGTTCAATCATAAAATGTCCATTAATACTTTTCTGAATCTAAATTGAAGTTTATACTTTATTAATAAATTTATATATTTATACTAAATTGAAGTCCACCACTGCGTCCAATAGGTTAGGACAGGTTAGGATATGTCAGGCTGTGTTCAGTTCGGTTAGGTTATGTTAGGGTTTTTTGGCTAGGTAAAACTAATGTAAGATTGTTTTAAACACTAAAGATACACACAGGAAAAGGCCACAATTGGGGGATTGCTGTGTGTCGTAGGAAATGTGTGGCAAGAAGAAGAAGAGAGAAAAAGAAAAAAAAGTAAAAAAAAAAGTTTAGCGGCTGATCTGTTTTTTTGCTTTTTCAACTTCATTCGCGAGTTATACAGACATACAGGTCGAATTTCGCAGTGACCAAGAAATGTCTTCTAAACTACTTTACGGATTTGAAGGAAACTTTGAATACCTTCCGAGCTTCCCAACGGTGATGATTAGCTTGTGACAACTTTTTTCGATTTGTCTTCGTTCGCGAGTTATATGGATATACGGAGAAACGACCGGTACTTTCGAGTCTGATTTTTAAATTTGCATTGACATAGAGCCATATACGTATAGCCTTATAACTCGCAAATGAAGGTAAAATCGAAAAAAAATGTCACGAACTCACGATTTAAATATCACCGTTGTAGGTTAGGTATGCATATTCAAAGTTGCATTCAAATCTGTTCAGTAGTTTAGAAGAAATTTCTTGGTCACTGCGAATTTTGGCCCGAATTGCCGTATAACTCACGAATGAAGGAGAAATAGAAAAAACTCGCAAGCGAAGGTAAAACCTAAAAAATTTTCAGGAGCAAAACGTCGCCGTTAGAAGGTTAGGTATGTATCATGGTTGAACTATATACTAATTCAAGCATGGGTATGTATATTCAAAGTTTCGTTCAAATTTGTTCAGTAGTTTGAAAGTAATTTCTGGGTCACTGACTCACTGCAAATTTCAACCCTAATTGCTCTATAACTCACGAATGAAGGTGAAATGAAAAATATTTCACGAGTTAAACATCGCCGATAGGTCCTGATGAATACGTGTACCAAATTTCATCGAGCTTCATTCATTAGTTAGGGAGATCATGGTTGAACTAGTATAAATACTGCCTATTTTGCGGATGTAGCTCGTTGTTCGCCTGTGACGTCACTGATCTCAGTGACGTCACGGGCATTAACCTTTACCGAAATTCGATCAAACCAGTCGGCCAATCTGTCATGGGAATGACGGGATTGTTTACGTTTCTCGATCTACGTGACGTAACAAGAAAGCTGAACTGAAAGACGGAACTTCTCGTGGGTCAACCTTATATAGTTCAACCATGAGGGAGATGTTCCTTGTGGGTCGCCTGCCGAAGACCACCACTGCCCTGGATGTAATGGACCATCATGATTCCTGCCTTCCGGAACGTAGCCTTCAACACTTCAAGCCGTCCGTATCTAGGACGTGCGTCGAACCAGCCCTCGGTCGAACGGCCACTTGTCGAAGGACGATAAATTTTGGAACAGAACTATGCTATCTGAAACCTAACCTCAGATGCGGTGAACGTAAAATTACGTGATTTAACGATGCCCGGAAGTCATATTCGATCCGCGGCCTGGTGGTGCACAGCAGGTTCTATGCAAGGCCGGAGTAGGACATAGCCCAGTGGTTAAAGCTGATTGGTGGATGTCCGGATAGATCCAAGGCGTTCGATTCAGGGCTTATTGGTGCACAAAATTTGTGGTGCACGGCTGCGCTCCCTTCCTGGTCATCGAATTTGGAGATTGGCCGTGAGACCGACCGTAAATTTGTCCGAAACCTTCATTATGTTGAGTTGAAAATCATTTTAGCAACAATGAGAGAATTAAATATTTTTCTATCGCTAAAACATAAGTAATGCATTTTCGGTAATGCATTTTTTTCGGTATAACATCGTCTTAATGTCAACTGGCGAGATGAGCGTAGTAGCCCAACACTGACGACATAGAATAGAATAGAATAGAATAGAAGTGTCGGCGTTGAAGACATAGGCCCATGGCCTGTTGCCGATTCTTGAACTTTTCAGTCCCCACGCAGACGTCGATAATGGAGGCTTGGAAGCTTCATAATCTTTAATCTTTCCTCATAGGACTTGCCTTTCAAGCCCGGAACTATCCTTGTTGCGCGTCTTTGAACACTCTCTACTCAATTTTTGTCCTTTTCAAATTTCGGTGACCACACGACGTTTCCAAACTCCAGGTTCGGGCGCACGACAGCAACAAACAACTGCTTCATCGTTTCAAAATCTAGGAACTCGAAAGAGCGTCTGATCAGTCCAAGTCGTTGATTGGCTTTATTAACTTGACCTTCAATATGCTTAGAAAATTTCAACTCATTGTCGATATTAACTCCTAAATCCTTTTCCGTTGTCGACTTCGACATCGTCACTCTGTCGTTGCAACCGTGTCTTCTCATATTGTAATCTTGCTGTTCATTATTCTTGCCAAGGTGGATAACTTTCACTGTCGTCATTGACAGTGAACGGAACTTTAGCCTGTATTCGTTTTGGTTTTATTTATCTGTAATTAAATAATAGCGCATTGCGGCATTTGTTTAGCTTACTGCCACAAGCTAATAATTTCGCGAGATTCACTTGCACGATGAATGTTGAGTAAAGTGAAAAATCGAAATTGCATTTGCTAGTTGAGAAATTTGTTGCCATTCTTGATACATAGTATAAATATTATACTCGTGCTTTTGTTATTTAAATTATCGGTTTGTATTAGTTTATTTATGATTCATCTATAATTCAAGGGCGCCGTAATGGTAGATAATATTTTCTAGTAATTTTATAAATACATCTTACCTATGATAGAATATAAAAAATATTTCTATAAAATTTGTTGTGTATCGAAATTCATTATTTTCGATCAGTTCATTTAGACTTGTAACGATATAGCAGAAAGGGTATTACTTAGGGTAACATGGGTCAGCGAGCCCACTGCGGGTCATGGGCCCACAGCGGGTTTCTCGCTAAGTATGGCAGATATTGGTCCGTGTTCTCTACCGCCGGTCGACAGTTTCACTGGGCGAAGTGTACGGATTTACATTTTGCTAAGTGTTTGCGTTATTAAGTTATTTGTGAATAACTGTTTTAGCCCAGATAAAATTGTTTTTGCTGCTAAATAAAAATGTTTTCGATTACTGTAGATGAAGCTTTTGAAATTACTGTGAATTATATTTTGAAAGTAATATTTATAGGAATAATTTTGAGATCAAGTTTAGACTATTAGCTTTCAAAATAAAATGTTGACACAATATAAATTGAAATGATACCAAGTGGGGGCAACGGGCCCATGCGTGTCACGTACGGGGCAAAGCGCCCATGGTGAAATCTTGTGTTATACATCATTAGATTTGTCTCAATGACCTTTTCAAACTATGACTAGCTTTTTGGATTACAAATTACACTTCATATTGCATGATTTTTTATTTGCCGCCTCAAGGCAGCAGGTTTTGTATCTAGTTATGCGTATATATGACCCCTTATCGAGTTATTGACTCTTGCTTTGCCAAAAGTTGATTTCAGTCAACACCAATGAGCCAAAAGTTGATGAGTTTTTTATGGTGTTGGCTGAAATCACGATTAGGTACGAATTCTCTGCACATAATATCTGGATTATGGACAAAACAGGAACAAATTTTTTTTCTGATAAACTAAATATATTTTTTCTAGTCAAGGATACATTTTTCATGTCGGAGACGAATTTTTTATCGCAAGGATATCTTTTTCAAGTCAAGGATATATATTGTTATGTCAATGAAATATTTTTCTTCACATCAGTGATAGATTTTTTAAGCCAAGAGTATATTTTCTTAAGTTATGGTTATGATTTTTTGAGTTGGTAATAAATGAATGAATGTCATATTTTTTATTACATTTTTCATATTTTTAACTGTAAAGTGTTGTTTTATCATTTTTTAACAAAAAATATGCAATTGTGGTAAAGGGACCGAGGGTGGGCGCCTTGCCCCAAGCCCATGGGCCCATTGCCCCAGGGGTGGGGCAATGGGCCCATTTTGACACTTTTTGCAAAATAGTGTTTCATGAAAAATTGAATAACTCTATAGGCGTCTAATTCACACCATACATTCCTCATTATTTGTACCTTTAAACAAAACAAAGAACCACCTCGTATCAATTAAAACTTCATCAAAATTTTAGTTTAAAAAAGTGAGGGGCGCGCTGCCCCACGTTGCCCTACATTAAAAGAAGGAAAAATAAATAATATTTCAATTATTCTTGGAGCTACAGCGATCTCTTGAACACCGCCCGCCACCACTTATCATTTTATTCCGAATTTTCCTGCACTGAAGCAGCAGTTAAACTCTTCACTCAATAACGCCCAGGTGCTAATGACGTGCAGAGATAAGGAAAACGTCGAAGTCTTCTTCATTCAAACAATCATAATTTCTGTGAGCTTTAACTCTAATTATTATGTAGCTGAAATTCGCATTATACTCTGTACGTATCTTGTCGCAATTTCACCCATTAAAACTGTCTAAATTCGTGTTCCATGCACCATTACTCATAAGCGAAATACCTAACGATTTCTAGCCTTCAGAGTAATATATGACTACAGCAGGCATTTGTGGGTGTTCGAAACTCCTGCAATCTGTACGAATTACGCGATGTCTATAATAAGCGACAGGCTAAATTTTTCCTATCCAAAGCCGACATCACTATTACTTATTACATTACTCTCTTTAAACCAGCTTCTTTTCCTGATCCGCTGAAGAGCAAGCTGTAAAATTTCGAGTGCCCGTCTACGTAATTGAGCTTGCATCGTCTGCTTCGTGTCATAAAAAGTTTGAAGTCAACCACTTCAGTTGCCTTTAAAAAGTCTGATCTCAGAGCTCTCCCCGACTCCTAGAATTGCCTCAACGCTGACAAGGTTTCAACGTAAGTTCAAAGCGTACGATTATTTTTATGCTTACATGTATTAATGGAATTAGGTCCGGTTATTGATTGATTTAATTATTTCTAGCAAGGTAACAAGATAAGGTTATCGATTAAGCTAAACAATTCATTCAAAGTACATAGCTTTACCTCCTAATCCGTGAACGAATTATAAATTAACGACTAATGTTAAAAAATGTGGAATTAATAAATCGAAGTTTTCAAAACAAATTACTACTCTATATGAAACTCATATGCATTGATTTATTTTCAGCAATAAGCGCAGCATCCGCAGTGCGAATGTTATTCTTAGTTTGATTTAAAACTTGTGTTTAGGAACACTTTTGAGGTGTGCCTGACAGTTAGTAATAAGCATATTAAATTTTTTGGATTACATATAACGTTATTAAATATAATGTCTTAAATATATAAATCTTTAATTTATTGTGTTTACCGTATTTATTAACTAAACTTAGAAATTTAATGGCAATTCTTTTGTGAGTTCTGATATTGTTGCGAGATTTAACGATGAAAAATCTGGTGCGTGCAATAATGATAAAAAAATTTTGCTCGTCCATCAATTTATTGTATTCACCTCTCCGCCCGCAGACGATGCATTTTGCAGTGCTGCTCGCGCTGTTCAGCGTCGCCGCTGCCGTGAGTAAATATTATATGAAAACAACGTAAATTTTACATGGAAACTTTGTGAATATTATATGGAAACATTATGAATATTATACGAAAACAACATAAATATTATGTGGAAACACTGTAAATATTAAATAGAAACACTGAAAATATTATATGGAAACATTGTGAATATAATATGGAATATATCAAATTACGTTCGGTAGTTTATCGATATTGTTATTTTTTCCAGAATATCGAAGATAAATTACAGTGTAGATTTTTATATATCAGAAAACATATTTTTAGTTATAAATCACAATCATTAGCTGTTCTAATAAACATGTGCTACAATCTATGGAAGTTTTGCATCTAATGCCTCATTTAATGAGTTGTTTAACCTGAACTCAGTTCCATTAGGTTATGTTTTTAATAATTACAGACTATATGTTGAACTTGATTGGGAAACCTTCCTTTCATTTGTAATCAAGAGGTTGATATTCAACGTCAATAATATTGATCAATTTCACCGAGGACTGCACACATTAACACCCAAAATCATTCTAAAAATTCAATTTCTTTTCCAATTCTATTATAAAATCATAAATATTTTATAATTATTTCATTATATTATACAATCAACCCATAATATTGTTCATTCAATAATATTCATTAAAAAACGAATAATATTATTAATTATAATAATATTATTATTGTTATAATAATAAAATAATAATATTGTTAATTAACATACCAGGAGGTAGCGGGACCATGTGACGAGGCTGACTGCGCGCTGCCGACCTGTGCGTGTTCCTCCACAGCCACGCCCGGCGGTCTCGCCGTCGCCAGCATACCGCACTTCGTCGTCTTCTCCTTCGATGATGGCGTCACTGTCACCAACATCCCCTTCTACCGGGTTTGTTTGGGTCATTATATAACTAAGCTTTTATTACCCCCACCAGCAAGGGCTTGTGATCAACCGTAACAAGGTCCCTTATATAAGGTTCGCTTGGTGTTTTTAATTTAGCTGTCATTATCCCTTCTAAAAGATGCGTATTAACTACCTTATGAGTGTCCGTCTGTACAAGGATTGTATGAAGTCATATACTTAGCTGCTATTATCCTCTATAAAAGATGCATGTAATCTATCTTAACAATGTCCCCTTTAATTAGGTGCTCAAGTAATAATCTAGCATTATTCACGTACCAAACCTGACCTATTCTTCAAAGCTTCCATTTATATACCCTATACCATTATTACCTTCTACCAGGTGTGCCAGAATTAAGCTATACTTTTCTTTATTTTCGAAGTACGCTCGAACAAAGTTGGCAATACCTTCTTCAACCTGGAGCGATATAATGGCATTATTAAAATTAGTTAACTAATGATATTTCGAACCAGGCACATTTGAATTGTTTTGGAAATAATAAATACCTATAAGAAATATGTTAAATCCAATCCAAATGAATAAGTTAGAATTATTTTGTAGGGATCCGGTACGGTATTCTAATTTTCATGCTCTGACGCTTATTTAACCTTAGGATCTGCTCTAACTGGTCAGTCTCCATACGAGCCAAAAAAAGGCACCAGATTGGCAATCAATATTCAAATATTAACGGTGATTATTTCATTACGTCGAACGTATATGATTTATTTACTTATAAAACGTTATTGACATATCTTGGCATCGCATTATACACATTCAATGGCGTTAACAGCATATCTACATCTTGGCATTGACATTATGGCCCACGGCTTGACATTGACCCAGTGGCCATATCTTGGCATTAACATCATGGCCACGGCTTGGCATTTACTTAGTGGCCACATCTTGGCATTAACATTATGGCCACGGCTTGACATTGACGTAGCGGCCACATCTTGGCATTAACGGCTTGGAATTGGAATTGACATTGACGTAGCGTCCACATCTTGGCATTAACATTATGGCCACGGCTTGGCATGGACATTATGACAACATCTTGACTATGAATTCATGGCAACATCACTAACAATGATGTTGGGCGACAGGAGCTGCAGAAGAGAACGAACCCTAACGGGTGTGGCATCGAGATGACGTTCTTCGTGAGCCACGAGAACAGCGACTATACTCTCGTCAACGAGCTCTACAGGAACGGCCATGAGATCGCCGTTCACTCAGTCACGTACGTTCACTTCTTTATTATTTACATATAGCATTTACCTTTAAGCCAACACTGATTCCATGTACTGGATATGTTTGCAGTTTTCAAATGAACTTTCTCTCTCTTGCTTCTCTGTGTCCATAATATCGTTCATGTAGTTCGTTCTGTAAGGCATATATTCCTAAGTAGATTTATATTATAATGTTATATATTCCTTAGTAAATCTCAAGTCATTTCAACGGATTACTTCTAACGTCGACAGGCACAAGTCTGACGTCGGGGAATACTGGCGTAAACTCAACCAGTCGCAATGGCTGGCAGAGATAGAACAACAGAGGGAAATGTTGAATACTTACGGCAAAATTCCCGTGGAGAAAATAAAGGTGAAACTAAAATCACCTCATGGTTCAGCTAAGTTCAACTATAATCATATTAATGTTATACGCATAGTTCTGGCCTTATTTTTTTGCTCTGTTTCCCTATAAATTCTTTGATTGACATGCTTACATCACTTGATTCTCTTCACCTTTGATGGGCTTGGTATTTGGGATGTTCCGCTTAATGGGAGTTTTGAAAAAATTGCCAACGAAAACTAATAAAACATGCCAGTTGACTATCACCATAACACGGCAGTTGACATCACCGTAACATGCCAGTTGACTATCACCATAACATGCCAGTTGACTATCACCATAACATGCCAGTTGACTATTACCATAACATGCCAGTTGACTATCACCATAACATGCCAGTAGACTATTACCATAACATGCCAGTTGACTATCACCATAACATGCCAGTAGACTTTCACATAACATGCCATGATGCCATAACATGCCAGTTGACACTTGCCATGACTCCCTCCAGGGTTTCCGAGCCCCGTTCCTCGAGGTAGGCGGAGACTCGATGTTCGGCGCCCTGAAGGAGGCAGGCTTCGACTACGACTGTTCGTGGCCATCTTTGCAGTACACTCCATGGTTCCGGCAGCCTGACGGCAGCTACAAGGGCGCTCTTTGGCCTTACACTCTCGACTACGCCAGCATCCAGGTCCTCGACTCAATCATTCACTTCTTCCCTTATATTGAATAATCGTTACAAACTCATTGTTAACTTGTGCGACGTAAGCTGTATTATGTCAGTCTTTGTCTCAGTGTTTGCCTCCTCGGTCGTTTGAATGAACCTACGAACCTCTCTACCTTTAATTCAAACTCTACGGAATTACCACAGAAATCTTCCTATTACGTTTTTTCATATTCAATTACAGTATTAAGTATTTCTTAATATTTTATGCATTAATTTGTGTGTGAAGATTCCTTGTAATTTTAGGACCAAACTGTTGGCGTAAAACCAACCGAGTCCTTCCCGGGGTTGTGGGTCTCTCCTATGACAGACCTACAGGACAACAGAGGCTTCGAGTGCTCCATGCTCGATGCCTGCCAGAGGTAACTTAATAATGATAATAATAATGATAATAATAATAATAATAACAATAATAATAATAATATTAATAATAACAATAACAATAATAAGAATAAAATTGATGATAATAATAACAATATTAGTAATAAAAATACTAATAATAATAATAACAATATTAATAATAAAAATAAAAATAATAATAGTAATAATAATAGCGGTTTCGGCGTTTATTAGGGCTTCAGCGTTTCAATTCCTACAAAAAATTTACTAATTCATTCATCTAAATTTTCTCAGTACATATTTTTGACACTTCCAACAAAATTTTATTCAAAAATTAAATTACATAATTTTCCTAAATCTGATGTTTGTGACATACAATTTAATCTTGACGTTATAACGCCTTCCATTTGTATTTATACTCACACATTTAAATCCAAAGTGAATATAATGAGTTGTTTTATATTTATACTCATAAATCTAATTCCAAAGTGAATTTAAGGAGTTGTGAGTTATTTAATTCAAGCATACGTTCATTAATTGCGATAACCTTTATCGAATTCACAGCTCACCGGAAGGCGAGCTCGAGACGAGCTCGGAAGCGGTGTTCGATCTGTTGAAGCGCAACTTCCGCAGCCACTACAACACCAGAACGCCCTTCGGTATCTACACCCATCACTCATGGTTCTACAATGAGACTCGCAAGGATGGACTGAGGCAGTGAGTAAATTAGTCATTTGTTCGCATGGGACCAGAAGATTTCGTTGGTTACGAACAAGGGTTAAGCGGCAGACACTCCAGGTTCTGTACTTTGGAAGTATCTTCAATTACTGAATATATTGTATTTGCATGATCTAGCTCAAGGTAAATGCGAGTTATTACCAAAGTTATTATTTAAAATGCTTCGTCTGACTATAATTTATTTAGTTAAGGCACGATTCTCTTCCTATATTCTTTTGCAGAGATAGACTTATTTTACCATCATTTTGGACTTGCGGGTTGCTAGCTTCTTTATTGGGCCCGTGCAGGTTCTTGGATTACCTGAAAGCGTTCCCTCACGTCTACGTCGTGTCGGTGCGTCAACTTCTCGACTGGGTGCGCTCGCCTGTCCCGCTGAGCCAACTTGGTACGATGAGTTCCTTCCAGTGTGGCCAAACCTTAGCCGACAACTGCCCCGATAAGAAAAACTGCCAGTACAATGCTCCCTTGCCTATCTCAAACTCAGAGATCTACATGAAAATTTGTAACAGCAACTGCCCGCCTAACTACCCGTACCTCGATAACGTGGATGGAAGCAAGCCATACTCGTAATATGCGAACGGAAACTTCAACTTGGCCTCAAATTATGAAATTCATCTCGACTGGATAACTTTCCTTTTCTCGACTGGATAACTTTCCTTATAACTTTCCTTATGATAACTTTCCTACTCATTTATAACGTTTAATATCTTATATTTCCTTCAAACTCTGCCTTAGAAGTATGTCTCTCATGAAATCTTATCGGCAGAAAACTTGAATGTACTCTGTCAATAAGAAACCTTCACTTAGTTTCACACTTTCCTCCTTCTTCCACATCTTCTTTCGCACACATCTTCTTTCTTTTCCACATCTTCTTTCTTCTTCTTTTTTTCATTTTGTTGTCAGAAAATAAGAAGTTAAAATGATAATAATAATTAGTCGAATTGGGGATTGTATTAAAAAAAATAATAAAAAAATTATTTGTTACACAAACTAATAATTTATTAAAAATTACCATTAATTGCTTGATATTTTTTTCCATATCCTGCGCATACAACTGATTCATCGAGTGCTCTTGTATGAAGAAGGATCATGATTACTTACTTATGAATTTAGATTACAAATGTCAAATTTGAGTACATTTAATGTTTAATATTAAGTCTTAGCTTCAAATTTCGCTCCCTGGACCTCAAACAAGTCCTAATGATGCAAAATGGCTCTTCTGCTAATGAAATTTTTGTACATATAGGTACTGGTTAGATTGCTAACAGGTAACATGATTTCCATTAGTCAACCTTCTGGCAGTCTACATGGTCTCTATATGTGCGCGTACTCGATATTAAGCAGTATTATTACGGTATTTTATTAGACTTACATTTATTTACTGAGTTGGAAAAAATGCGTAGAAGATTTTAAGAGAGATAATTTTTATCTAACTTAGATAGCTTTCAACTTCTAAGAAGGCTGCAAGAGTTTTCGGAAAATCAGAGGTGCACATGCCGTTTCCCAAGAACGCTTGAGCCAAACGTTCATATCAGAGCCTTCATTGCTACTGCAGACACCTTCGCTGACTCCAGCTTGCAACTTGAACACCAGAAATATCAAAGTAAGTCTTGTCCAGCCTTGTAAGGTCGAGCATCAGCTTGACATGCATTTTCCCAACAAAACATGATAAACCTTTACAAATAAGCACTAAAGCATCATAACATGAACCAATATTATTTGGTACCTATTCATGTGATAGAATTTTAAAAACAGTGTCGCACTTTGAGTCTCTACGTTTGTACGAAGTATTGTAAACGTATTTATATGTTTAAGGAACATTTTTATACCGCGCTATCTTGGGTACACATGCCGTATGCTTTTTACGACCATTGCGATGTAATTCTAGCACACGTGTTATTACGCAGCCTCAGAGAGAATATTCTTTATTGAATTTATTCATTGAATAGCCTTCAATGAAGCGGATAGGAGTGTCTCATTTCAAGTATCCAAAAATCAAAATTCAGCCATTCAAATAAATTTGAGAACTAGTAGTAACCATGATGAGCTAATACGTGAGAGTCAAAAATTTTTTAAAAACGTTACATAATCTAAGGTTTAATGCGATTCAAAATTTCTAATATGATATGGATTTCTATAATTAATAGAAGTGATGTGTTTGTTGATTCACATAATCTCCTTGCTTACTAGATATTGCTGCAGGTGATCCTTCTCATAGAAAGTTGTACGTCTTTGGTGTATGATATATGGATTAAGAATAAGTATTATGAATATGAAACATAATACCTCTCAACGAATCATGAAAATAATACATAATACCACTTTTCATGTTTTATAGTAAGTGATCACTCAAGTGATGTCAGGCTGTTTTCGTTACAGATGTAAGTTACGGAAGGTTTTAATTATATTGAATCAGAGTTTGAAACAAAACACTTATGAACATGTTATATCCAAAACTTTCCTACAGTTTTAGGCAGCTAGAATTAAACTATCATTATAATTTCAATTGCATGAAATATATTATTATTGTGAGTCCTTGGCTGAAAGAAAAAATATATGCACGCCAATCTCACGCAAATAAAACGAGCTGATAACTACAGCTAATATCAGTTTGCAGTTCGCAGAAACACAATAATGTTCTTCGAACACGCGGGGCTTTTCCCACACTTATTGCGTCAGCTGCACGGGAACGCAAGTTTTCAGAGATAAACAAATAAAATCAACATGTACGATCTAGAATTGTGTTATGTATTCATCATATTCCTCTTGTAATCTTCTACCATTCATATTCATATTCGTGTTCATCCATTTCAATTCATAATCGCGCTTATCCATTTAAATTCATATTCGTGTTATCCATTTCATGCGTAGTCGTTCACAAACATTCAATGCATATCCATGCAAATTTATTTTGTTATTATTTCATGTAGCTCAGAATTTCTTGAATAAATAATTGCCTGCCAATTAATTAAAATCAGTCATGCACCAGAAAGTTTCCCAATGAAAATATTGGAATAATTACATTAACATGACAATCTTAAATTTATCATTCCTTATTGAATTTTTAGAACGTAGAAAGTGGTCTTCTAAATTAATAGAATGCGGTGCACAATAAAAAAATAAATAGAGCATGCAATTTTATTCTAAACTCGACTTTTCGCTGTCACTTAACAGGACAATAATCCACCAAATCTGCTGTAACAATGCTGAGAGAGGCTGTAGCCGCCGCTGCTCTGTTGCTTCTCAGTGCCGCGGTCTTCAACAAGGTCTGCCTACCTGATTAGAAAATTATGATTAGAGTACACGAAGCCAAATGTAATTACTGCGAAAATTAAAATTAGTTGCTAGTTCTTAACTCCTTCAGCAAATCCCTAGCGGCTTTTCAAGCAAAATCCGCCAATGAAATACAAGAAATCGGCCACCAGGTGTAACGAGTTTTGTTAGCACGTCCCCATATGTTTAATAGGTCCAATTGTCTATATTCTGCGTGATTATCCGACTGCGTTTTAAATACGATGCTGCGCGGACAACATTTTCTTAAAATACAGATTTTTCTTAAGTCATTTCCATTAGACGCTCAATTCATTTGAAATTTTGATAAGAGTAACATGAAAAAGTAGAAGGATATGTTACAGCTGGCACCGACGAATCTGCTAGAAAGTTTGGTCACAAATTAAAGTTTTAAGTAAAGACTACTTAATTGATTATATTAATCCATGGCAAAATAGTTTCGTATGTAAGTTTGTACAATGTACTGCAGGTGGGTCCAGTGCAGGGTGAAGCACCAGCTTGTAATCAGACAGAATTACCTTGCAACAACGCAACATGCCGATGCTCCAGCACCGACGTCCCAGGCGGGTTCGAACTCAAAAATACTCCGCAGTTCGTCGTTCTTTCCTTTGATGATGCCGTTACTGTCTCCAACTTCCCCTTCTATGAGAAGCTTTCTAAAAACGTCAACCCCAACGGCTGTGAAATTAAGATGACTTTCTTCGTGTGTCACGAGAGTCTCGACTACACTTTGGTGCACAAACTTTACCGTATGGGGCATGAGATCTCAACGCATTCCGTCTCGTGAGTCCTTGGTGATTTTCTAAATAAAATTCGCAGCAATTTGTCTTGCTGCACTTCAATCTCACAACTTATATTTATTGTAAAAAGAATAAGCAAATCTTAATTAGTGGCTGCTGTAAGTTCATGCGCAAATAAACCAATTTCAGACGTAGTTTGCTGTAAATGAAGCAGTGGTTTTGCAAAAGTTTTTTTGCGCCAGAAAAAGTCGTTCAGTAGCTCAATATTTTCGATAACTGTTTCCCTTGTTAACAAATTTGAATTACATCATTGAAAGATTTATCCACAGGGACTTTATTGACTAAGGTTTCATCTCCGCCAGACTTGCTGAAATATAGGTTTTCTTTATTTCGATATTGAATTGAAATTTCTGAGAGCATGATGGAAGAGGAAACAATTATTTTTTTGGAAAAGATTGTATAGAAATTTTTATGATTAACCTTTTTTAAATGTTATTCGAATTAATAATCACTCGGTTTCCCATCTCGACTGGTCCGTTCCTCGTTAAAGTAATTTCCTTTAGGTTATCTTAACCCTCTGCCGCCTGGCATGAGTAACGTACGGAGCAATATTGTCACAAGCCTGCTTCCCAAAAAGGATACGTTCAAGTGAGCGCAAAATGACTTGCACTGATGGTTGCCGCTACGTACGACAACTTTAAAATGTTCTCTGTTGCGTACTTAGGTCCTCAGGTTGCGCTACACTCGATATAGTTTACTTATAAATTCGTATCGCTTATTTTGTAAGTTATGTTCCCGGAGAGTGACATACGGCGGTAGAGGGTTAAAATCATGAACTCTAATAAAGTATTGGTTTCACAATTAAAACGTTGGCTCTTCAGGCATAAATCTGACGTTGTGAATTATTGGCGTAACATGACCAAAGAAATGTGGACCAATGAAATTACCGACATGAAAACGATGCTCATCAACTACGGCAAGATACCTGCGGACGAAATTGTGGTGAGGGAAAAATGCTAAATGATCACGTGCTAAGGTTTATCCTTTGAACTTGTTTACAGTTAGATCAAATTTCATGGTTCACCATAGGGGGGAGAAATAGAATGGATTTAAAAAAGGAAACGGGGAACATAACTTATTGGAAATAATTATTGTTAGAACAATTGAAATATTTATCTAATTGTATATTTATTATCCAATATTTTGTATTTATTATCCAATATTTTATATTATTCAATTTATACATCTGGTGTAAATTATTTAGCGAATGTCTTCCACACACTGTTAATTGAGATACAGGTTATTGAGCTCCACTGTTCATTAAGCATACTAGAAAGACCATTAAAAACCTTTTAAAAATTTTTAACACAGGGTTTCCGCGTACCGTTCCTCGAGGTTGGTGGTAATCTGATGTACGAAGTGCTACTCGAGAACGGCTTCAAGTACGACTGCTCATGGCCGAGTCTCAAATACACTCCCTGGTATACTGAATTTGGGGGTGAACCCTTGGGCACACTGTGGCCCTACACACTTGACTACATGAGCATTCAGGTGAACTGTCCTATATGATTTAACCAGTTTATCAATATATTAAATCAATGCCACCAAGTCCAGGCAATTTTATTATTGTGAATAGATGAAAATTTATAATTTCATATAAATATCTATATATTTTCATATAAATATCGAAATATTTTCATATAAATAGCTATCATCTATATTTTCATCAAATTTATAATTTGTATAGCTCCCCATTCATTCGCTACAGGATTTCAGTACATTTGCAATTTTTCTCATCTTATTATAAAATGTAAAAGTTTAAATTCACCGCGAAAGCGCTCTCATTTCCTTATTCATCTTGTCTCATAAAGTCCTGCTGAAGAAGCCTGTTAGGTCCTAAATATTACGTGTGAACCATAATTACTTGTATTATATTATTACATACTTATAACTAACTTCAATTATTCCAATGAATTTCCCAGGACCAAACAGTGGGTACAAAGCCAACCGACTCGTTCCCCAACATGTGGGTGAACCCCATGACTGACATGCAAGATAACAGGGGAGTAGAGTGCCCCATGTTGGACCAGTGTGTCAGGTAACTTTGAAATTCTTTTATTTCAGTTTAAGTTATTCAATGTAGGAGGCCATTACTTCTCCAATTCAGCGTTATACAGCGTACGAGACAAGCCACTCTTAAATTCATCAATATTCAGCTTACTAGGCAACTCTTCCTCACAGTTTGCGCTGTTCAATGTAAAATTTAACTTCCTCTTACAGTCTGCGCTATTCAGCGTGAATGGCAAATCTTTCTTCCAGTCACAGTATATCAGCATAGGGGGAAAGTGCAGCTTACAGTCTGCGTTATTCAGTGCATGCGAGCTCATATTATTAGCAAGAGCATTTAGCATGCATCAGCGCCTTTGAAAATTCAGAGTTTCCTCCTTACGATGACATTCTGTAATTTAACGCCTAATGTTTTAATTGACGTGAATTATCTAATATGTCATTTTCACCGACATCAAAGATCAATACTATTTAAAATCATATTCGTTGTTAAGGTTTCTCCAGATAAATCCTTAGGTAAAATTTCATTTTTCAATGGTTGTTGCTTCCTGCCTAAGAGGACAAGCTAATTGTGAATTTGCGCGGTCTTATTCAAACCATTTTGTAACATGTAAAGAACAATTTGAAAATTTCTGGTTAAACATACGCATTTTTCACTTAATGTAACATTTTAACATATTCAAAATTTTATTTCTCTTCAACTGGCATAAGTGGATGAATATTTGTGGGGCTCACGTCTATGAAGTGCACAACCTGCATAAAACTAAAGTCTTAAATGTTTGAGAATTTATAGCATTTTTTGGCGATTTTCATGCAAACCCGAATAGGTAAACTTTAAATGTTGCAAAATCATATATGAATTTTAGTGCTAACGTTTACAATGATTAAATTATAGTTAAATAGCTGAATTAATTTAATATTTATCAGCGCGGAAGACGAGCTGGAGACCTCAGCAGAGGCCGTATTGGATCTGCTCAGACGGAACTTCAACACGCACTTCTACGGCGACCGCGCACCGTTCGGGCTGTACACGCACCACTCGTGGTTCCTCACCGACACTCTCAACAACGTCACCGTGCGCCATGATGGCTTCCAGATGTACGTGTTCATCGCTCTTATGTATACCAAAGGCTGTTTCTGGTAGAAATTATACTAAGGATTCTTCTTTGGCATTGTGGACCAAGTCAGTGAGCTGCCAGCTCATACACTTACAGATGTAGATGCTATTTGTTTTATATTTGCCATGAGCTGTTTCTGGAAGGAATTTTAGTAACGATTCGTCTTTGGCAATGTCGACCCAGCGGCTTCCAAGTCTTCGAGCTGTGTAGCACTGAATTACATTTGTAAAGGCCCGTTTACACTAGTGGCAACGACATGCGCTTTGAGTCGTTTGCTGCAGTGCCTCACCGCGCACAACCGTTCACACTACGTTTGTAAGCGATAGCTCTAGACCGCGCGCTTTGAACACCAGTTGCCCCCTAGACGTCAATGAGGATGGATGTAACCGAATTTGAGCTGTGGGCCATTGTTCTCGGGTGTGCTGCGGTCCGTCATTCTTCGCACTATGCCAGATGTAAACGAGAATTTAGCATAGGCATCATAATTAGAGAACTAGCACATTCAAAAATATAGTCTATTCTTTTATAAAAAGTTCCAATATTCGTACCGATATTATATCATCCTTTGAAATCGCTAAACGGTAATGCATAAATTGTCAGGAGTTGCTAAAATCACATAAACTAAACACGTCATGTAGAAATAACTTACATCATTTGCATTTCGATTTTTGTACTCCTATGACCGAACACTCCATATGCATTCATTTTCTCTATAAAGATCAATTAGGCTCTCTACTAGAGAATGACTCCAAACGAGAGTGATGTTAGTCGACATTTGGTGTGCCGGATCAGCGTACACAATCAACCTTACTATAGACAGCTATCTACTAACTAAGAATTTAAAAGCAAAGAATAGTCCACAAAAGTTCATATCTTTATAGAAAACGTTTCGGCGACCAGCTCCATCGTCAGTTCGTAGAATCTAGAATCACAAATCAGAAGTCACAAATTAATACATTGAAACCATAGAACGAATTGAATTTCTTTAATTAATTAATTAAGATTTTTAATTTGATTTACATTTTTAATTTAATTTGAATTCTTAGTTAATTTGCGATTTAAGCATACAAGTGATATTAATTCTTTAATAGTTATCTACTAAGTGCCGCGCTTGTGTTGCATGAGGCATGGCCCCTGTCAATCGCTAGCTCGTCAATCGGTCAAGAAGCGCATGCAGAGGCTGCAAAGCGCCTCTGCATGCGCTTTGAGGCACTTGATTCTCGTGTGTTGCCTCTAGTACGTGTGAACGGGCCTTAATGCTGACGGCTCAGGCAATGTTGCGTTTAGCATTGTTATTCATGTGGTGCCACTAGGCTTAAGAGTGGAAGAGAACAAGAGGTGGTGCAGAGTTGCCAGATAAAGGAAAGAGAAATGGGAAAATATAGTTGGAGTTGAAAAGGCGCATAGCGCATAATTGGGTTGATGGTCGGTTTTAGGAGTTTGGGGGACGTTGAACATTTTATTTCCTTCTTCATGCATACTTCGATGTAGGCAGAGAATTTGAACATCTAAAACATCCAGCCAGCTCATAACAGATATCTTTCGAAACTTTTTCGTTCTAACTCATTACCTTTTTGTTTTAACTTTGTTCAGATCAACCATTAGTTTTTGTTTTCACCATAAAAAGATCTTTCATAAGTTTTTGTTTACAGGTTCCTGGACTACCTCAAAAGTTTCCCGCAAGTTTACATCGTGAATGTTCACCAGTTGATCCAGTGGGTTCAAAACCCAGTAGATGTGGCAAATATAGCTGAATTCGGGCCTCTTCAATGCGGAAACATGTTGCCAGATATGTGCGCTGAGGCTGACAACATCAACTGCGTGTACAACGAAAGCTTGCCCATAGATCAGTCTCAGGTGTACATGAAGATTTGTGAAGGCCCTTGCCCTGCCGCCTACCCCTGGACTGGAAACCCTGATGGGGTAAAAGGAATGGCTAATTTCACCCCAGAGAAAATAAGGAAAATTTGAAGCTTTGGAAGCGTGAGACTGATTTTATTTTGGATTTCAGCGTGCAATTACAGAAATTGAAATCATAAACCAAGTCGGGAACTATTAAAAAAATTACTAAAATTATATTTCATCAATAAAAAGTATTTGAACGTTTCTATAATTACTTTTTTACCGATCATAAGTCTTTAAACTCCCACACTTCGCATAATTTGAAAATAAAATAACATGTCATACATTAATTTGCTTTGATGGAAAGCTGTTTTTAAAAGCGATCAAGTCTATATAGGAAATATATTTTCATCGCATTAATGTGTTGAATATCTGGATAACTGGACTGATGTCGTATATGAATGACTCATGTCAAAATTTTAACTTATTAACAATAGATCAATAGAATTCCAATGATAATAATAATAATAATAATAACTCGTAAAACAAATTTTCTGAATTCCTCTTTGGTAGAACAATTGACATAAAATGCCTTAGTAAAGGCTAACTGGATGATACTGCACAACATCGTCAACAAATTAATGAGGGCGATAACCATTTAATTTAGGTTAAGCATTATTTCAGCACAGTCTGGTACTTAGAAATAACTTTTTATCACTTTTCCAACAATTGCATTTAACAAGGAGTTTATAATCTTATTTATTTATATAATTTCATTCATTTCAGCCTAAATACCTCGTGTGATTTGGGATTTGAATGAAATGAAAGGGTATAGAAGTAAAAAATTCTAATTTTCTCTTTTATTTAGCATATACAGCAACAACTGACATATAATTGGCTTTAACTCACAAAGATTTAATTACGTATGCGTCACAACACCTTGAGTAAAAATTTCAAATTGCGTTGTTTTCAAAATCATTACAATACCATTAAACATGTCGAGTGTATTTATAATCCTTCCATTTGTCTTCCACTGCCGTGTGCGAGACTTGGTCTTTTCCACATATGTGCCATCATATTCATAGGATTGCGTCTTGCTATTCTGGATTGCTATGAAATTTTAGCAAACTTGGCTGATAATTGAAATACACTAAGTAAATCAGGATATACATGGAAATTTAGGTTAACTATTATTAGGTTTTATACCGTACTTCTTCCGCTGCGCTTTTGTAAAATTTGTTTATTGTCATAGATTCAATCGAATGATGACATTGATAATAATCAATATTTAACTGGGTAAGTGAATAATAAATACTTATAACTTCTTTCTGAGCAGAGAGAATGTTCATTTGTTACTCATAGAAGCGCCATGGCTATTAATGTATTCAAAGTTTTAGACGTGTTGACCCCGACTGGTCATGTGTTAATTGTTTGAAAATCAATTAAATTTATTATGTTTTAAGTGCCGTGCATAAACACAAGCCATTATAATCAGTATTGGACATGGTCAATAATCCTACTCAAAGATGCAACAGTTTAGAGGAAACATCCAACGACAACAAGAAAGTTCTCATTACGCCTTAAGAATATTTCAAATTCAACTCTAACACCAACACACGACTGAAGTTTACTGTCAACCCTATACTTCAAAAATTTGAAAGCAAAGAAAATAGCCAGAAAATTCACCATTTCTTAAAAAGTAAAACGTTTCGGAGACCAGCTCCATCATCAGTTCAAAACCTAAAACACAGGTACAAACAATTAGCAATAAATTCACATTGATGCATAAATCGTCAATCGACGATTTATGCATCAATGTGAATTTATTGCTAATTGTTTGTACCTGTGTTTTAGGTTTTGAACTGATGATGGAGCTGGTCTCCGAAACGTTTTACTTTTTAAGAAATGGTGAATTTTCTGGCTATTTTCTTTGCTTTTAAATTTTTTATAAACTTGCGATTTAAGCAGTCAAGTGATTTTAAACCTATACATGTCTTCGATCAAGCGATATTTCAGCGCAACAAACACTATTGGCTTGTCGAGCGACGTTTACATATTTTCCGTGCCTAAATTGAAACATGATTATTAACTTTAGCCAAAATAAGCTTTCCTCAGCAAATAATTGTAACAGAAAGGGACACGTAAAAAGCTTTATTTTTGTACAATCAATGAGATTCCAAACCCTCAGACAGTAATAAGCTTAATTGTCGCTGGTAATATGCTAGCAATAATATTGAACAAATTCACATTGCAGAAAAAAAAAAATAATTTCATGCATCATACAACTTAGTGGAAAGAATCTTAAGAATTAATTTGTTACATTTTCAGTTATTTTTTGTTAAATCACATTATTTTGTTATTTTAAATTCGTATCATAATTTGAATTTCGTCATCAAATATTGCAATAAATTTTATTAGAATTTAAAGAATTTCTTCGGCACATATTGTGAGTGAATTATCAACCTGCATTTTATGGTAAAATTTTCAGTCATCCGACTGAAAATTTATAATTTTATTATTAGTCATTAATAATATTTTTTTAAGAAGTTTATTTTGAGAAGAATTTGCTGATATTTAAATTTTTCGGTAAAGACTTTCGCTGATCATTGATTCATGAATCGTGTATGAATTTTATTAATAATTACTTGTTATAAGAAATATTCCTTATATTTTCTATTAACGCTCTAGATTCGCATGGTTCTGGGAGCCCTTCCTAAGCGAAGACCGCACAATAATAATTCGTGTTCTAGAAGCCCATTCCTCTTAAATAATCCCTATCAAAAATAACATTCAGTAAAAAACTGATATGACTCTTATTAAGTCACGGGAAACTTGTGTTCAACGTAGAGCCTATTTTTTATGAAAATCCAAGAACCACGAGTAATGCAACCTACAAATCTGTGTCACGGATTAAAGCATTTTAATGTCTCCCAAGATTCTAAACGGGCCTGTTTCTCCGATAACATCCACATGAATACATATTTAACTTCCTTCCATTCTTAATTTTAACAAAGACTGATGCGTGAATACTTATGTCCGAAAATTGCAACAAATGATTTTACCATGAACTATTAACTAATTCGCTGAAATGACTGGAAAAGGTGAAATTTTTATGAAATTTGTCCATAGTGAATAGAAATAATGAATAATCCGTTTATGTACAGATTTTGTACTAGAAATTTATGTTAGAAACATGAATTTTAAGTTCAGAACCTTCATGACAACGATAACTATGTGCAAGATAGGCAGTGTCGGGATACTCATAAAAGTATAGGCAGCATTGTCATCCTCGTAACTATTCATTGACTTATACGTAAATGACGCATCATTGACATCTCTACGGTGGAATTTTACATTTTATGAAATATAATCAATTTTTTTTCTAACGCCTGCTACACCGTCTCAAAAAAAAAAAAGCCTAACAGAAATTAGCTAATACGAACAACGAACTTTATTTATATATGCTTAGATAATCCCTCATGTGTTCATATTAACGATAATCTACGGAGATCTGCACAATTAATTTGCAGATTATAATTGGCAATCATGATATGTAACATAAACCTTAAATAAATAACCTACTATGAAAACGCATATCGGGACGAATTTCTCAGCTAAACGAACTGTATTTTTACACAAGATGAATTTATCATTTCATAATTTGGTCATATTTTCCCAATGGCTTGGTTAACAATACAGGCAGTTAATTGCATTGGTTCGAGTTATACCTACGTTTATTCTTAATTACCATTGAATCAGTGCTAAGCTTAATCTTCGAATGAGTCATCAATTGTGCATGGCTGAGCCGAGAAAAAGTTTTATTTAAACAAGCGGCGTCCAATCGAAAGTAATAAACGGTTTTTGTGGAACCGAATCAGAACGATTGTAAATTTTTTACAGGCTAATTGTCAGATTTTTCAATCATTTGATAGAGTTTGAAATTGTTCTCAATTAAAAAATATATATATTTTTAAATTTCGTTATTGAGAGATATCGTACGTAAATTGGAATACGTGAGGGGGATGTTAAGTAAAAAAAAGTTTGACTTGGTTTATTTTATAGGAAAATTAATTTTAAATGTTCGTTGGAATTTATACTAAGCTAGTGTCGGAGTGAGAAGGTAGTTGTGAGGTGACATACTAATTAATTGAATGCAGATTCTCACATACTGAACGGGGTTCTAACGTCCATGCTTCGCGACCGCGAATATCAACGAACGTTTAAATCATCTAAAAAAAAGTTCAAGTTATTAAAGACTACATCAAATCACGATTCTTTATTGTAGCATTAAGTTTGCATTACTGATGGGTCACGACCACGAATAACAGAATATGTCCAAATTATTCTATAAGTTTAAGTGCTTCAACGATTAACGCTCGAGAGTTTAGACCTCGCATGCGCGTGTTTACGAGATCCTGAAAACTACACGGACTTCACAACCACAGTTTAAGTACCTATTTACCATCTGAAACGAGTACCGGATCTATTATGTGTAATTAGTTAACGTCTCGGACAAAAACGCGGCCTCTCTCACGGCCGGTCTCGCGGCCGGACTCCAAATTCAGTGAGCGTGGAATATCTCGCGAAATACTGAACGTAGCTCGATGAAACTTGGTACACATTATCACTAGAGCCTAACGGTGATGTTTAGCTCGTGACAATTTTTCGAATTTCGCCTTCATTCCTGAGTTATATGAATATACGTGGTGAAAATTGCAGTGAGCGTGACATTTCTTCTAAAGTACTGTACAGATTTGAATTAAATTTTGAATATAAATTTCTCAATACCCGACGGTGATGTTTAGCTCATGATATTTTTTTCACTTTTGCATTCGTTCGCGAGTATTTTTCACTTTTGTCTCATTCGTGATTTTAACAGCGATATGTGTTGAAATTCACAGTGAGCGTACGATTTCTTCTAAAATACTAAACAAATTCGAACGAAACTTCGTATATTTGAAAAATTGTCACGAGCTAAACATCACCGTTAGGCTCTAATGATTATGTGTACCAAGTTTCATCGAGCTACGTTCAGTATTTTGCGAGATATTCCACGCTCACTGAATTTGGAATCACGGCCGCGAGACTGGCCGTGAGAGAGGCCGCGTTTTTGTCCGACACGTTCTAGCGAGCAAAAATTACACCCAGAAGCTTTACATTTTTTCGAAAAAAACTTTCCCGCTACAGTTTTTGATGCTTCCTAAGGCCTGTTGTCACCCTACTACTTACATCGGCGATCATTTAAACGCAAACACTTCTATCAGACCTGAAATATTTTTCTTTTAACAGCTGAGGTTAGAAAAATGTTTAGGTTTATCATCCTTTATGGTGAGTTTATCTTATTTAGTAAGCACCGGGAGATTGGAGCTCTGGTGGTCCCATGTGAATAGTTTGTTCCCCTTGCGCTATTTCGCCGGACTTCCAGGCCCGGAACTTGAAGAAGGTGTCCGCTCCGTAGACCAACATGGCGGCGAAGCCGAAAAAGGCGGCAACAGCATAGGCTTCAAAATATCCTCCCCAAAGGGCGACTGTCAGCGATGCAGTAAAGTAGAAGAAAGTCCACAAAGCCACGTAACCAAGCTCCTGTAAAAAATTTTGTTTAATAATTCATATAGGGTAGAGATTCAACAAATTACGGAAAATTTGCAAATGTATGTAGATTGGGTAGATAATAATCATGTTAAGTTTTTGAATCTCCTCAACAACTAATACGATGTCAGAGGACAGGAAATATTATGTCTGCAATCTATAGAAACAAAAACAGTGCAGAAAAAATCACGCCGAAAAATACTTCGCGATAGTTTAAGATCATGGTTGAATTTTAAGATGAATTTTGCCTTTCTTTAAGAACTGAAAACGCTATCGTAAGCACTGTAAACGCACTGTTAACGCACTGTAAGCACTGTTAAGTCTCTGTCTCACTTACTATTTTAAGCCATGGTACCATGTAGAATTTTTCGATTACGTGCATAACATAGAAAACTAGGAGCAGTCCTGTGAGCCAAAACCCAGTCATTGACACGAATGCGAACCATTCTGCTCGACTGTGGTTGGAGTTCACCGACGCAGAGATGCTGATGTATCCGATAAGATTCAGTACCTGCATGAACAAATTTATCAATAATATTCATTAAAAGAAGTTATAAGCGGCACAGAACCGATTTCGAAAACATTTGAAAATAGGCAGTAGGCACATCGTGCATTAGTAACTCTGAGTGAGAAAAATAACTTGAGAAACAAGCGATTTGAGGCAACTATACGACACAGGACAGTATGCTGATTTTAACTTACCATTGCTACAATTTTGATGATACCCGGGATGGTACGTATGTACGAAGGGTCGAACCGTAGAGTTGGTGTGACTCTTGTAGTCGTTGTGGTCATGTGAGAGTCCGGGAAGCCTGGATCTACGGTCCCTGGTTCCATCTGCTCAATTGAAGTGGATTTGTAGATGGGGTTGAAAAACTTACGTCCATGCATATAATGTGCACGCAATGAAATATTTGAATGCTCGCGCTGAAATATTTGATAACCGGGTTAGGAAAAAATAAAGAATTAATTATCTCAACTGATTGCAAGTAGTCTCAACAGAGTAAATATTTTGGTTCTTAGATAGTTATTTATAAAATTAACTTTTATAATAGAGTATGTCAGTAAGCTGTGATTGGCGTAAAAGGTTGGCCTCACTCATATTTAAATATAACAGACGGTTTACAACTGCTCGGGAACTTCCTCCATATAAAGATTTACCATCAAGTGTCCTCAAACTTGTAATTCACTCATGCAATATTGGACCTCTAATTGAAAAACTTTTCACTCTACACTTATATTTATACTTTATTGAATATTGTAAAAAGATAATATTTCCAATTTATTAAAAAAATTAATTATGGTTGTACAAGCTTCGAAACTCATTAGTAGGTGCAACCAGCACATCAGGGACAATCATGCCGCAACAGTCCCTTTTCACACATATAATTTCAACATTACCTGCATACAAACAGCTCAATATAATAATATAAATCACATCAATAACACACCTAGTCAATTCAATCACCAGCGCACTCTTTTCACATCATAACCAATTCACTCACCACAAACAACTCCATCATTAAGGCATATACAATATATACTCACAGTTCTATATCTTATCACTTCTAAAAACAATCAATTTCAAAAAGCCATCATTAAAATAGCACACTTCCACCAAAACAACTCCTGTAAAGAATTCCAATACTCACAGTCACAATTCATATCTAATCAATTGCAACATTAGACAGCACTCAAGCAATCATCAGCTCACTCTGCCAATATCGTATTTAAACTCAAACGCAATTCCGAAAACATCAAAAGAATTGACCACTTCCATATATTTTAAAACCTTGCCTACTCTCTCTGTATTTCACATTGTTGATTTTGCCTAAACTTGTCTAGCTTTTCCCCATCTACCATAATCTATGTAACCATAATTATTTATACCTTACCTTATCCAACCTTACCTAACCTGTACGGCTCTACTCCATCCATACTCATAATAAACTTTCCGTACTCAAAATAATGTAATTATCTCGAGCCCAACCTTACATTACCCATAATTCAAAACCCTGCGCAGCATTACCCAAACTTACTTAACTTTGTTTATTCTTCCCTAACCTAACCTAACCTAACCT